CTGATATTATCGTGCTAATCAACATCTCTTCCCAGTCTGGGTAGGAAAATAATAATCGTAATAGTGAGTAGCGGTTGAGTGTTTGCACAGCGTTGGGCAGTGCTGCCGGACAGTATGTGCGAAAGAGCCTGCATTTGTAAAATTACATATATTCTGGAGTGTGAGGTTTCATGTGTGATTTTTTTGCTTTTTTCTCTGCTTACATTTAAATACTATTGGGATTTTATTTTACAAGGAGTGTGCAGTTCTTTTAATAATCTGGAAAGTATAGAACAAACTATAAAAGCTTTTCACCTGGGCTGAGCTTAAACTGGGGTAAACACCCTCCCCACAGAGGTACATGCCTGGGGAAGGTGGAGGGGGTGGTGCTGATACCTACCTCATTGTGGCAGCCTGCCCCAGATTAGCCAGAGAGCTCCCTGGTTGTGCAGTGGTTAAGAATCCGCCTGCCAGTGCAGGAAACACAGGTTCGAGCCCTGGTCTGGGAAGATCCCATATGCCGCGGAGCAACTAAGCCCGTGCACCACAACTACTGAACCTGCGCTCTAAAGCCCGCGACCACAGCTACTGAGCCCGTGTGCCACAACTACTGAAGCTCACGCGCCTAGAGCCCGTGCTCCACAACAAGAGAAGCCACCGCAATGAGAAGCCTGCCCACTGGAACAAAGAGTAGCCCCCGCTTGCCTTAACTAGAGAAAGTCCGCGCCCAGCAACGAAGACCCATAAATAAATAAATTTATTAATTAAAAAAAGAGAGGGCTTCCCTGGTGGCGCAGTGGTTGAGAGTCCGCCTGCCGATGCAGGGGACACGGGTTCGTGCCCCGGTCCGGGAAGATCCCACATGCCGCGGAGCGGCTGGGCCCGTGAGCCATGGCCGCTGAGCCTGCGCGTCCGGAGCCTGTGCTCCGCAACGGGAGAGACCACAACAGTGAGAGGCCCGCGTACCGCAAAAAAAAAAAAAAAAAAAAAAAAAAAAAGAGAGAGAGAGAGAGAGAGAGCTCCATTCCCTGGAGCACAGTGATTGGTTCAGGGAGGGCATGTGACCGAAAGGGATCCAGTGAGCTTCCATCATGGGACTTTTCCTGGAGTTACTGGGAAATGGGGTGCCGCTTTCTGTTGGATGATGAGGTGAGCAGATGACTAGCCAGAGACATCTTTGCCATTAGGAGGGAAAAAATTGCCTGATAATGAAGCTAATGTGGGTTTCTGAACTGTCTGTTACCTCCACCCGTAGACTCTTCCTCTAACTAGACATGGGGCTCACTCCTTCACTTTACTCAGGCCTCTGCCTAAATGTCACCTCCTCAATGAAGCCCTCTTTGCTCACCGTATTTAAAATAGCAACCCTCGGGCTTCCCTGGTGGTGCAGTGCATAAGAATCTGCCTGCCAAGGCAGGGGACACGGGTTCGATTCCTGGTCGGGGAAGATCCCACATGCCACGGAGCAACTAAGCCCGTGCGCCACAACTACTGAGCCTGTGCTCTAGAGCCCGCGAGGCACAACTACTGAGCCCACGTGCCACAACTACTGAAGCCCATGCGCCTAGAGCCCGTGCTCTGCAACAAGAGAAGCCACTGCAATGCGAAGCCTGCACACCGCAATGAAGAGTAGACCCCGCTCATCGCAAGTAAAGAAAGCCCGCATGCAGCAACAAAGACCCAACACAGCCAAAAGTAAAAACAAACAAACAAACAAATAAATAAAATAGCAACCCTCTAGCCCCACACTCCCCATCAGCCCTTAAACGGCTTAGTAGCAGTAGTAGTAGTAGTAGTAGTAGCAGCATTTTGCATTCCCTGTACTTATTTTATCTAATAGGTATTTGATGCTTTGTTATTGATTCACCACCTTTACTAGTCCGTTTTGTTCATTTCTGCATCCCCAGTACCTAGAACAGGGCCTGCCATACAGTAGGAGGTCAGGAAATATTTGTGGAGTAAAAGATTAGTGAAAAACCAAGCTGAGAGATATAGAGAAACAGTTGACTTTGTGTTAGCCACTGGATAGAGCTGTTCCTGAGCACTTCTGCGCTTTAAAAAAAAATAAATTTATTTATGTATTTTTGGCTGTGTTGGGTCTTTGTTGATGCACGCAGGCTCTCTCCTTGCGGCGAGTGGGGGCTACTCTTCGTTGCGGTGTGTGGGCTTCTCATTGTGGTGGCTTCTCTAGTTGCGGAGCACTGGGCTCTAGGCGTGCAGGCTTCAGTAGCTGTGCCATTTGGGCTCAGTAGTTATGGCTTGGGGGCTTAGTTGCTCCGTGGCACGTGGAATCTTCCCGGTCCAGGGCTCAAACCTGTGTCCCCTGCATTGACAGGCAGATTCTTGACTACTGAACCACCAGGGAAGTCCTGTCCTGCACTTTTAAAAACAGAAGTCGGGGAATTCCCTGGTGGTCCAGTGGTTAGAATTCCATGCTTCCCCTGCAGGAGGTATGGGTTCTGTTGCTGGTAGGGACTCAGATCCCACAAGCTGGGCAGTGTGGACAAGAAACAAACAACAACAACAAAAAAAACAGAAGTCAATGAGAATCTCTTCCTCCGGAAATTGGCATTTGGTTTGAGTGTGTGTGTGAGAGAGAGGGAGAGAGAGAGAGAGAAAGAGGGAGAGAGAGGGAGAGAAACTGTAAACTGTGATTGTGAGAGGCAAACTAGCCCTGTTGGTAAGTGCATGTGTTCTGATGTATTGCAGGCCATTCAGGTTTGTACCCCAACCTTGCCACTTACCATGCCACCTTGGAAAAGTTACTTAACCCTTCCTAGTCTCAGTTTTTCATGTATAAAATGGGCATGATAATAGTGCACCCCTCCCCGCCCCCACATAAGGCTATTGTGAGGATTATGAGATAGATTATGTCAACTTCTGAGAACATGCCTGGTGCATTGTAAGCACTCAGTAAGGATAGCAATTATTTGCTTAAGCTAACTTAAGAAGGATGCTGTTACTTACATCTGGTTGGTCTTTTTTTAAATTAAAACTTTAAAAATTTTTTATATTTATTTTTCATTATTATTATATTTTTGGCTGCGTTGGGTCTTGGTTGCTGGGCGCAGGCTTTCTCTAGTTGCAGCGAGTGAGGGCTGCTCTTCGCTGCGGTGCACGGGCTTCTCATTGTGGTGGTTTCTCTTGTTGTGGAGCACGGGCTCTAGGCACGCGGGCTTCAGTAGTTGCAGCACACAGGCTCAGCAGTTGTGGCACACGGGCTTAGTTGCTCCACGGCATGTGGGATCTTCCCAGACCAGGGCTCAAACCCATGTCCCCTGCATTGGCAGGCGGATTCTTAACCACTGTGCCACCAGGGAAGTCCTGATTGGTCTTAATGTCTTAATAGAGAAAAAAAAAAATCCTGTAAAGTAGCGTGCTCTGTGCTTAACAGTTTTTCATGAGGCCCTACATGATAACTAGATTCTTCTAGTTCCTCTCCCACTCCAGACAATGCCTGGGCATCCCCCATTATTGTTCCAGGGACAATGTTTAGAACCCTAGGGATTGTCTTTGGTTTTTTTTTTTTTTTTCATGTTCACCAGAATTCTCCCTTTTCCTAGTAACAGCAAATGTAATTTCTATTTACATGCCCTCCCAGACTCCATTCCTGTGATTTGAAATGTCTCTGCCAGCTGACAGAATGAGCACAGGACCCAGGCCTGGCCAATGAACATATCACATTCCCCTGAACACAGTGATTGGCTCAGGGGTGGTTACAAGACACGCTGGTCCAGTCAGCACCTGCTCTGGGACTTTTGCTGGAGCTGATGGGATGAAGGGATTTTCCTTGCATGGGAAGGTGGAGCTGGTGGGATGTAAGCCTGGCACTGCCCCAACGAGGGTGAGGCTGCCTTGGAGTGGGGCAGTAGTCATTTAAATGTTCTTTTGGCTACTGTAATAGAGACCCAAATCATAACGTGATGGCTTAAATAAGATAGGCATTTAGTTCTCTCTTTTGTAACAATCCAAGTAGCAGCAATACAATATGGCTGCTCCCTGGTCTCAGAGGGCCACACTCCTTCCAGTTTATGGCTCAGTTATTCAGAGGGTATGATCCACCTACTCCAAGATGATCTACTCCACGTCTTCATTCTAACCACCAGGAGGCGGAAAAGGGAGAAGGAGAGGACACAACCCTTCTTCTCTTCAAGGACAGAGCCTGGAATTTACCCATATACTTTCCCTCTACATCTCATTGGCTAAGACTTTGTCATATGACCACATTTTGCTGCAAGGGAGACTGGAAATGTGGTTTTTACTCTGGGTAGCCAGCTAAAAATCAGTGTTTCCATTACCATAGAAGAAGGTGAATGGATTTAGGGAGACAATGGACAGTCTCATTCTCAGAGCAAATCAGAGGCAAGAGATTTTGTTACAAAGTCCTGGTGACATCTTTTGAGTCCCTGGATCCAACTGTGCCTGAAGCTGGACCCATGGAACTTTACAATTACAGGGCATTCATTTCCTTTTTGGCACATACCTGTTTGATTTGGGTTTTTGATCACTCGAAACACAAAGAACCCTGATTAATATAGTTAGATATAAAGCCCCTAGTTGATGTCTGGCAGAGTGGGAGTTCATGAGTCAGTATAATTCTTGTTGTTGCTGTTGTTGATATGATTATGTTGCGGGTGGCCCTACAGCTCACTTCGTCTGTGCCTTCTCTACCTGTTTCTTCATCCTACCCCAGTACCGCTAGCTCACCCCTCTCATCCTCACAGCCCTTAATGACTCACGGGTGATGATGTTATTTGTCTCTGATTCCAGTGAAATTTCTTCTTCACTCTCCCATATACATGGCAGAAAAGAATCATACCACCCCAACAATGTTGAGGGAGGGAGTCCTGAACCCTCTGTTTGTGATAGAGACCCCCCTGGATTCAAATCATGCCTCACCCTGTGGAGCACAGGCTCCGGACGCGCAGGCTCAGCGGCCATGGCTCACGGGCCCAGCCGCTCCGCAGCATGTGGAATCTTCCCGGACTGGGGCATGAACCCGTGTCCCCTGCATCGGCAGGCGGACTCTCAACCACTGCGCCACCAGGGAAGCCCTCAATTCTTATCTTGATGAAAAGTGAACATGAAGCACAGGCGCAGAACAAACAAGACTCCTGCTTTCATAACTTTGATCACTATTTTCATCCACTTCTATTGCTTCAGATATGTCTCCAGCAGTTACAAGATTTCTCTGGGAGAGGGTCTGACCCCTGACACCGCACCCCTTTCTATGTTTATGGGATGAAGCTCTCCACCAGCCACCCATGGGCTGATGTCTTTGGAATAGGGGTCTGGTGCCAAAAGGGTCAGAGGGATGAGGTCCAATAAAGTTTGGGGAGGGGGAGTTTACAGGGTATGGAGGACAATGGCCTCTACTGGGGAATGAGAGATTTCCAGAGAAGAGCTCCCTCCCTGCCCCCTGGTGAGAGAAGCCAGGCCCCTTGCTGCCCATGGGGCCCATGTCCTGGAGGAGGGGGAGAACCACCTCAGGCTGGGGAGACTGAAGTTGTGTGCCGGGCCCCCTCCTTCCGCCGCAGCACGAAGTCTCCAGGGGCGGCTGGGCTCATTGCGTAGAAGACATTGGCATTGTCAGGAATCAGGAGCTCTGACCAGGGGCGGAGATGATGGTGAAAGGCCCACACAACCTCATTCTTCCCTCACAAAGGACCTAGGTAACCTTCCACCATTCACCTTGGAGCCTGAACAACCTTGGGTCCCTTCAGCTAGTGCTAAGCCAACCTCATTCTCCTCTCTCTGTGAACCTAGACCACTTCCCACTCAAAGCCTGCACAACCTCATGTCTCCCCCCACCTCCAACCCCGTGAACCTAGGCTACCTCCTGCTATTTCCCCCTGGAGTCTAGACAACCTGCACTACCAGCTTGAACAAAGTCAGGCCACCCAGCCCAATCAACTTCCTGCCCATTCCACCCTTCCCCCACAGCCAACTCCCAGCCAAGTGCATACTGCTCTCACCATGAACTTGGACAACTTCTGACTTCCCATTTCCAGCCTGTACAAACCTCACACTTGACACGTGAACAACCTCATGTATCCTTCCTAATGTCCAGCCAACCTCACATCATGCCCTTTAATGTGTCGCTTTCTCTCTGGTTTTTTTTTGGCCACACTGTGGGGCTTGCGGGATCTTAGTTCCCCGACCAGGGATGGAACCCGTGCCCCCTGCAGTGGAAGCGCAGAGCCCTAACCACTGGACTGCCAGGGAATTCCTTAGCATGTCAATCTCTTGCCTCTCTCTCTTTTTTCTTCCTACATTTTTTTCTCCATTTAAAAAACTTTTTAATTGAAGTATAGTTGATTTACAATATTGTGTTAATTTCTTCTGTACCGCAAAGTGACTCAGTTATACAGAATTCTTTTTCATATTCTTTTCGATTATGGTTTGTCACAGGATACTGAATATAGTTCCCTGTTGCCTCTCCCTCTTTTTTTTTTTTTTTTTTTTTCGGTTCGCGGGCCTCTCACCGTTTTGGCCTCTCCCGTTTTGGGGCACAGGCTCCGGACACGCAGGCTCAGCGGCCATGGCTCACAGGCCTAGCCGCTCCGCGGCATGTGGGATCTCCCCGGACCGGGGCACAAACCCGTGTCCCCTGCATTGGCAGGCGGACTCTCAACCACTGGGCCACCAGGGAAGCCCCTGCCTCTCCTTCTTGAAAACTGGACAACCTCCTACTCACCTGTACACTGAACGATCTCATGCTTCCCTACCCTGAATTTCAGTACCATGTGGCCCTCGCCTATGCCAAATTCAGAGTCCCCATGCTGAGCCTGGACAAACTCATTTCCCCTCAGATCCAAGCCCAGACCCTGCTTCAGTCTTGTGCTCCACCAGGTTGAGCCTGAATAACCTCATGATTCTACAAATTTAAGCCCGGATGACCTTCTACATTCCCTCTCCACTGGACCCTGGACAATCTCATTTCCCCATAAATCCTAGGAAGTCACCTTTGGTGCCCGCTTCCCTCACACTGAGACAGGACAACCTCATGACCCCACCTAATGAAGGTACCAATATTTTTCTGCCCTTAACCCAACCCTGCTTCATCTCACCCCTACTCTGTGCCAGAACCATCCCGGTCAGTCTGCCGCCCCCCTCCTGAAGCTGCCCCCCAGCTCTGGCTCCAAGCTGTCCCTGCTCACCCCTGTCCCCAGGAAGGGCTTGGAAGAGCTGATAGTCCTGGGCCCAGGGCTGAGCCACATTGTGCTTTTCCAAGGCTCGCTGCACCACGCTGGGGGCCTTGTCCTGACTAGTGAGCTGGGAAGAGAGGGCGAGAGGTGAGGGATGACAGCCCAAGCCCCAAGGGCAGGGCTGCCACCAGCAGGTCCCAGGCACAGCCCCTCACCAGGATGCTCCGATACAGATTTCCATGGTCATTGTCGATGCTGACTCGGACGACGCAGGCCTCTGAGCCCTGTTGCCCCGGGAGGGAGATGTGAGGGCCACTCAAGGGCAAGGCTAGGGTCCGGGGGCCTGGTAGGTCTGGGCTCAGTGGCAGCTGTAGGCAGTGGGGTGGGGACTGAGCGGTGAGAGCACGAGGCCCCTCCCTCATTGTATGCAACACGTCTTCCTGCACACCCTAAGCCTGGGACATGCAATTAGGGTACATACACAAGCCCACATCTATGCAATCCCATCACATACAGACTTTCATGCCCTGTTACATGAATTCACACACGACTCATGTTCACACACAAGAAACCCTGTGTAACCAGAGAGCGGCGACTGCACCCATTTGCTCACAATTGTTGGATACACACAAGCCCATGTCCATGAAAAACCCTGCACGTGGTCCTGTGGATATTCATGCCCGCATTTCCCCTCCAGGTATGCAAATTCCTAGGAAAATGCATATCTGTGCAAAAGTGGGTGATTGCACCCCAGAGTACCTTGTGTCTAAGTGGAAGCTCTGGTCCAGATCTGAGCATAACTGATGGACAGTCCCTCAAACGGGGCCATGAAAATGCACGTGGCTTCCTGGACATATCCCTAGAGTGTTCAGCCAACTGTGTGCATAGTCTCCTGTGTACATACCTAGCCCCCAAATCCTGTACACACACACACACACACACACACACACACACACAGCCCTGGGTGCCCGCAGTCCCACATGTACACATAGTCCTGGTACCTTGGTGCTGGGGCCCTGGGGCCCTGGAGAGGCCGGAGGACTGCCGGGAGGAGGGTCCCTCGTTCTAGGACTGGATGGGGGGGACGCTGGGGACAGACTGGGGGAGACACAGAGTCTGAAGTGGGGTGGCTGTCCTGATCTCTGATCCTGTCCTCTCCAGCCCCTTTACCAAATGGGATGCTGACCTGGAGGTGGAGGATGAGGGATCCCTGGGACTCCCACCAGGGGATGAGCCTCTCTCTCGGGACAGCTTCCTGAAAATAGAGACAGGGGATGAGGCTGAGCCCAGACTCAGTCCCAGGAGCGGATGCCATCTCTGCCCACGTCACTCCCCACATACTCCCTGAGACTCACGCGCTGAGGCGCTTGGTGAGGCTGATTCGCCGCCGGACGCGTGGGGAGCTGGGGCAGGAGGCGGCCGGTGGCTCAATGACCCGGGAGATGCGGTAGCTGAGGGGTCAAGATGCAGATGGGATGGGGGGGTTGGGAAATGAGTTAGAATCGGTCGGGAGCTGGGTTTTGGGTGTGTGTGTGTGTGGGAACAGCCAGGGGGTGGGCACCCAATGTTGGGGTCAGGGCCATTACAGCTGTGGGGTCTTATCAGGGATAAGATGAGATGGCTTGGTTGGCAGGTCACACAGGGGTTTACAGAGTGGGACTGAGGAGTCAAATTGGGTCGGGGATAGAGTTCAAGGTTAGATAATCACTGAGGTCAATTGTTAGGATCATGGATTCAGTAGAATGAAAAGAAACCATTGGGACAGTTGAGTTGGATGCTCTGACATAAGAGTCAGTTGCTCAGAATTGGGGGTCAATGATTGGGCTCAGAGAGTCATATGGGGGTTATGAATGGGGTCATGGGTCAGATAGGGCCAGAGGTGGGAGGAAAGAAAAGATGAGATGGTTGAATGGAATGGCCAGCTGCATGTTAAAGGTTGAAGTCAGAAAGTCAGATGGGTCAAAGTTTGGGGTCAGAGGTCAACTGGGGCCCTCGACTGGGCCGCAGACAATGCAAGGTGACAGGCTGGGTGGGGGGGTGTCAGGGCTCAGGAGGGGGGTCTTAGGAGGAGCTGGAGAGGTGCATGGGGGAGGTGGATCCAGTGTGTGATCCAGGGTCAGCGGGTGGGAGGTTGGTCAGGCCAGGCCACATGTTGGTCACCTCTGCTCCTCGCTGAGCTGGCGCTGGGTGTGCAGGGCAGCCAGGATGGGCAGGTGGGAGCTCAGGCAGTAGCTCTGACAGCGCCTCTGCAGCTGCTGGATGTGGGCCAGGATCTCCCACTCCTGAGGGGGTGGCCTCTGAGACCCCGTCCATGCTCAACCCCCATCCTGGACCGCCCGCACCCCCCGCATGCCCACCCCAGTGCCCACTTACCTTCCTCCTCTTCTCAAAGTTGATGAGATCCCCCTGGGGGCAAATTTTGTCTGAACTGGAACCTCCAGGGTCAAGGATCAAGGGTCAAGGTCAGGGGTTGGGATGTCAGGAGCCCTACCGCACTAAGGGGGCTGGGGTTAGGAGCACAAGGCAGGGTCACGGCTGTGAGGTCAGGAGGCCGTCTGTGCTGAGGGTGAGTGAGGCTGGGGTCAGGAGTCAAGGGTCAGGGCTCAGACCTCCAGCATGTCCGGCAGGGCTGTATCCAGCATAACCAGGTCCGTGAGAAAGGTGCCAAGGTAGGGGATGGGGCCTGGGGGCAGTTTCTGTGGCCCCCAGAGCTCCAGTCACTCTCAGCCATCACCAACCCCACCAGGCTCCACCCCCCACCCAGGATCCTGCTTGTCCCTCATCCCAAACCACATCACTCACTGAGGGCAGGCTTCCTGGGGGGGCATTCTCCTCGGTAGCCTCCTCCTGGGGGAAGGGGAAGAACTGAGCAGTCCTGGGCTCTCTTTGTCCCCTCCCTCGGGGAAGATGCCTCCATCACAAGCAGTTGTAAAGGCCATACCCAAGGGAAAGTGAACAGGGAGGGGGAGAGAACGGGTAAGCAGCAGGGGGCAGGGCTCACTGGGGATGATGGGAGGTGGGGCTTGTGGGTGCCTTGGCCCCCAAGGCTGGCCTTAACACAGGTGAAAATCCTTGTACCTGGAGATCCCCCAGAAATGCCCTGAACCTTGTTGGCACATTTTTTTTTCCAGTTTTTCTTATCAAAGTCAAGTCCTTAGCAGAATTTTTTTTTTTTCACTCTTTGCTCTGACTCTGGCCTTCAGTGACCTTTTCCCTGTAACTTCTGGTATTTGTTGAATGAATAAATAAGGCAGCCACCAAGTGTGAGCTATAATGAGGGCAGCAGAGGGAGTAAAAACGCAGGGCTGCCCACAAACAAGAGGAAGGACATTCTCGAGGCATAGGGAAAGGACACTGAATGTTATGACAATGACAAGCAATGCCCTGCCGGGCCCCTGGTCACCTTCCTGGGCCTGGGATCTGAGGGGTCCTCACCCATCTGTACCTGGGAGAGAATCTCTCTGCTGCTGAGGTGATTGTTCTCATCGGAAAAAATCTGCGAAAGTTTCCTGAAAGTGGATAACGGTTCCCTGGGGGTACAGGAGAGGGGTCAGGGGTGGCCGCGGGGAGAGTCAGAGCTGGCATGAGGTGGGCAAGGAGTCCCGCGCCACCACCCCGCCCCTTGCTCACCGGCTCAGGGCACCCCAGCTGCGCTTGAGCCGGTAGATGGGGTTAGACTGCAGGGCGGACAGGATGGCGCGCAGGGAGGAGAAGTTCCGCAGTTCCCGGCAGCGCTGGGGAGCGGGGTGGGGGATCGCTGGTCACACCGCCAAGCCTTAACTCCAAGTATGATCCACCTTTGATCCCGTGACTTGTGACCCCAGGTTAGATCCTTACAGCTCGCCCCATATCTGACGAGCTACCCAGATTCAGCCTCCTCCCCCAGGGGCCCCCTCCCCCTCTCCAAGCTGCAGTCCCATCCCCTCCCCCAGCTGCCCCTCCATTCCCTTCCTCTGACCTTGGCTTCCCGTGTCCCCACTCCTTACTTCTCCCTGGGCCCCAGACGGACCCGTAGCATCTCTCCTAGACCCAGACTCCTCCCCCCCAGCCCAAGTCTCACCCCAGGTGTCAACCTTCTTCACCCTTCGCCTTGCCACGCCCCCACTCTCTTTCCTGGCCCCCATTTCTACTCTTCCTCTCTGCTCAGGCTCCTGCCCCGCTTCCATCCAGTCTCTTTCAGGACCTCTGCCTCCGTCTCTTGGCTTTGGTCTCTCCTCCAAGCCTATCCGCTCCCCAGTGCCCCCATCCCATCCTTATTCCTAGACCAGCCCTGCGTCCCTCTGCGGTCTCAGGCGCCAGTCCCGCCCAGTCACGTCCTAGGCTTTCTCTTAGGCACCTCCCAGCCCCAATCCTCCAAGTATCCCCAGACCCCAGTCCTCGGCCTTCCGCCCGCCCCCGACCTCTCTCTGGCCTCGGTGCCCCATGGCCCCTTCCACCCACCCCCCGACAGGCACCTGCGCGATGCGGATCCACTTCTCCAGCCGCTGCGCCCTCTGCGGGGCGGCCAGGCCCGGCGACCCGAGCACCGAGCCCAGCACGCAGCCGGTCACCGTGTTGAACTGGGTCACAGTGGCGCGCACAGTGGAGGCGGTGCCTGTGGCCCCCGGCCGGTCCCGCTGCGACCACACGGAGCCCAGGCACTCGAAGGGCCGCACGCGCGAGAAGAGCTCCTGCGCGCGGGGGTTGGGGGTGGGTAGGATCTGTGCTCAGCTGGGCATCTTCCCCTTCCCCCTCCTCTACGCCCCGCCCCCTCCCGACCGCACCCAGCAGGGATCCTCACCGCATCCATCAGGGTCAGCTGCTCGGCCACGTCGTCTACACTGAAGTCCAGGAGCTCAGGACCTTCCCGCACGAGTCCTTCCACCTCTTCCAAGCAGCCTACCGGGGAGTCTGGACGGGGTATCTGGGCAACCCCTGGATGTCCTGAGGGAGCATTAGAGGGGGTTAAAAATTCTGAAGTTTGAATCCAGGACTGGCTGCGTGACCTTGGGCATCTGTGATCCTCACTTTTCTCATCTGTGAAACAGAGGTCTCCTTGAGTGTTTTTAAGAACATCAGAGCAGCAGTAACTGTTCATTGAGCATCTTGGGTGGATTAACGGGGAAATTTATACACTAACCCTGCGAGGGAGGTACTATTGTGCACCCTTTTTAAGGGCAAAACTGAGGCAGGAATTTGCTCTAACTCACATCTTCAGTAAATGGCAGAGATCTGAAGCCAGGTGCTCAAAGTCTAGAATAGAAAATAGAGCTTTTTGACTTTGAACCTGTATTAGGATAGGATCCATCTGCCCTTTTCTGGTGGTTAGAGGTGGTATAACCTTGTGGTTAAGGAAAGGTTATCGTCTTAACGTCCCCAGTTCAAATCCAAACTGGTCCACCGGGGTGCTGTGCGAATTAAGCAAGACTTTAAACCTCTCTGTGCCTTGGTTTCTTCACTTGGATTTTTATTTTAATCACATGAAATCACGCATACCAGACGGCTATAAAGTACTCAATAAATATGATTTTTCTGAGGTGACGTTCAATGGTGGCGCCCCCTAGGGGGACATTTTGGAAGTTGAAATCTTGCCACAAGAGGGGCTTGGCACTCATAGTGAAGAATTGTATCACCAGCCTCCAAATGTCCCTCCAAGAAATTTGTGTCCTTGAAAAACCTGTTTACAATACTTGGCACCTAGAACTCAACTATCTTGCTCATAAACACTAATTATTTTGGCTCTAGAAAGGCAAGGACTGTGAACTTTGTTTTGTATGGAAATGGCAAGTGTTGTTCACCATTTTGGAAGTTGATGTCACCAACATCTATGCTGCTGCATCTGTGTCGCCAGTGCATCCCCCTGCATTAGTTTCTGGCTGCCATATTCACCATGATGCTATGGCAGGTGAAGGCACTGAACAACTTCATCATGTCTCCTGGTGAGGCATGCCCAGACACTGACATACCAACAAGTATAGTTGATTGTTGTGTAAATTGCTTTTGTCTTATTTCTCCTTCCTATTACAATTTCAGCATCATATTATTATTTTTAAATTATCTGTGTAAATCTGTTTAAGTATCTGTCTTTCATTTCGTATTAGGACAGGTAGCATTGCAAAATACTACTTTATTTTTATTTTTTTGGCTGTGCCATGCTGCATGCAGGATCTTAGGTCCTGGAACAGGAATCGAACCTGTGCCCCCTGCAGTGGGAGCACAGAGTCTTAACCACTGGGCCACCAGGGAAGTCCCGCAAAATATTAGTTTTTAAAAGTGAGCATAGGGGGAAAAATTACTCAGCCATAGAAAGGAACGAAATTGGGTCATTTGTAGAGATGTGGATGGACCTAGAGACTGTCACACAGAGTGAAGTAAATCAGAAAGAGAAAAATAAATATTGTATATTAACACATATATGTGGAATCTAGAAAAATGGTACAGATGAACCTGTTCGCAAGGCAGAAATGGAGACACAGATGTAGAGAACAACACCAAGGAGGGAAAGAGTGGGGTGGGATGAATTGGGATTGACATATATATACTAATATGTATAAAATAGACAACTAATAAGAACCTGCTGTATAAAAAATAAATAAAATAAAAATTTTAAAAAATCCCATAACTTGAGCACCAAAAAAAAAAAAAAAGAAAGTGAGCATGGGGAAAAAAATTGCACGTAAATCTAATCAAACCTTTAGCTCTTACAGCAAATACGGTGAATAGAGGAACGTGCTTCATGTCACCATGAGAAAGCTAACAGGTAAATGGAGAAGGATGTGAGACATTCCTCGGGACAAATGACCCATTATTTTCTCCTAATGCCATTAATCAAAAGGCAAAGAGGAACAGTCATAGAAAAAGAGAGATCTAAGAAATGAACACTTGGGACTTCCCTGGTGGCATAGTGGTAAAGAATCCGCCTGCCAATGCAGGGGACACGGGTTTCAGCCCTGGTCCAAGAAGATCTCACATGCCGCAGAGCAACTAAGCCCGTGCGCCACAACTACTGAGCCCGTGTGCCACAACTACTGAAGCCCGCACACCTTGAGTCCGTGCTCCGCAACAAGAGAAGCCACCGCAACGAGAAGCCCGAGCATCACAACGAAGAGTAGGCCCCGCTCGCCGCAATTAGAGAAAGCCCGCGTGCAGCAACGAAGACCCAACACAGCCAAAAGTAAATAAATAAAATATATAAATTTATTTTTTAAAAAAAGAACACTTTAAATGGATCTTTGGTTTTGGAAGAAACAACTATAAAGAAGACAACTTAGGAACAATAGGGGAATTTGAATATGAGTATTTTTTGATATTGAGTAATTATTGCTGATTTCGTTGGAAAAGATTGTGGGCATGAAGGTTATATATATATTTAAAGTCCTTGTCAATTACCGGTGAGAACCAAAGTATTTGTGTGTGAAGGGACGTAAGTCTGGGATTTGCCTTCAAATCATCCTGAAAAAAAAATTTTTGGTCAAATTGATAATTGTTGAAGATGAGTGATGGGTGTTTCAGTGTTCTTTACATTACTTCTCTCTACTTTTCTATATGTCTGAAATTTTCCATGGTAAAAAGTAACTCCCAAACAAGGATACTAAGGTTCCCAGATCCTGGCATAAAGTCAGTGTTCGATAAATGTTCATTTTCTCCTCTTACCTCAAGAACTCATAGCTTAGGGCAGCACTTTCAATAGAATTTTCTGCAGTGGTGGAAATATTTTCTACCTGTGCTGCCCAATGTGGTTACTGAGCACTAGAAATGTGGCCATTGTGACCAAAGAACTGATTTTAATTTTTATTTAATGTTAATTAAGTTCAATTTTAATAGCCACATGGGGCTAGTGGCTACCCCACTGCCCTGTGCAGCTCTGATGACTTGGAATCAGCTGGTGAAATATTGAAGGCAGAGGAAGAAAGATACTTGGTAACCAGGAGGGAAGATGAAGGGATAAAATGTATATAAATAACTCTCACCAGGTGAGAGAAGTGGTTGCTACTTCGTAAAGCAGAGAGGAATGTGGCCAGTTTAAGGATTAAAGAATGGATTAGGGATATAAAGCTCTTGTGACAGGGATCAGATCAAACACAGATGGGTGAAAGATGATACTTTACAAGCAGGATGCAATTACTCAGTAGACAAATCCGTGTTGTAACTGACCCTGGGGATAGAGTTGGGGACAAGACCAATAGGTTCTATGCAGAAAAATAAGGCAGGTAATAGGACTCAGAGTGGGAGGCTGTATTTGTTGGGGGGGGATCTGAGAAGGCATGTCTGAGGAGATGACAACTGAAAAAAGATCTGCATGAAGTATGTGGATATTTCTCCTTCCCCCCAAAGCTCTCTACAACAGAGGTTGTAGATCTCTGCTGTAGAGAGCAACAAACGTGGCATGTGGGATCTTAGTTCTCTGACCAGGGATTGAATGCATGCCCCCTGCAATGGAAACGCAGAGTCTTAACCACTGGACCACCAGGCAAGTCCCAGCAAACTTTTCCATAAAAGGCTAGATAGTTTGCTGACACCCACTTCACTAGAAAACATCAGTATGATTTATTGTATCGATTTCATTATAAGTGGTAGATTCTAATAAGTAAGAATCTGTGATAACAACAGTAATGAAAATAATACTATTTGCCAAGCCCTCATTAGTTGTTTATTTACTTGTCCACTAATTGTCTTCCCCAGGGAACAGGGAGCTCCTGTCCACTGTTACGTGCCCAGAGCCAGTGGCTAAATATCTGTTGAATGAATGAAGAAGCCAATGAGGTAAGTACTGTCATTGCCCCCATTTTGCAGATAAGGAAACTGAGGCTCAGAGAGGTGATTTATCCAAGGTCGCACAGTCAGCAAATGGCAGAACTAGGATTTGAACCCAGGTCTCTGTAGCTCCTAAGGCAAGTAGTAATAGATGATTTGTAACCAAAAACACAGGGTATCCTGACCCAATGATGGACTATCTTTGTAGTTGGGATGTGTTGTGTGGGGGAGGTGATAGACAAATGCCAATACTTTAAACAAAGGGCTATTATCCCCATTTTACAGGTGGAGAAACTGAGACTCAGACAGGGTTAAGAACCTTGCCCAAGATCTGTAGCTCCTCCGTGAGGGGAGAAGACACCTGGGGGAGGGAGAATGCCTGTTCCGGACACTATCGGTTCCCCAACCCGCTCACCTGCCCATGTCTGGGACCGCTCCTCTTCTTCCTGCTGTGGCTCAGCATTCTTCAGGAAATCTCCCAGCAGCTTTTCTGCCTCCCGGGCCTCAGCCCCTGATGGGGCTGCCCAGCCCAGAAAGGTGCAAACACTGCCTAGGTCCGAGTGGGCAGGGGGATCCCAGAAATCCTGAGGGTAGTCCCGCAGCCAGGAGCCCAGCACTGACACCACAGCCCTGGCCAGAGGGGTGGGGCCTCAGAGGCCAGCCCAGAGCTCTGGACCGCTGGAGCCCCTACACTTCAGATCCTTTTGACCTCTATGCCCCCCTGCCTACACCCGACGGGAGGACAAACCTCAGGTTGTTGTTGAAGGTCAGATCTCTTCCCTCTGTCTTCTTGATCTCTACCCTGGAAAGACATCCCCCCATCCGCCATCAGGTGAGGAAGAGGGCGGCTGGAGGGGACTCAGGAGGAAGATTCTGGGGTTGGAGGGGGGGGTCCTGGTTCTAAACCGGAGGGAGCAGAGGAGTATCCGGGTGAAGGTCTGGGGTGGGAACATGAGAGTCCCCCGTTGGTACTAACCCCGGCGGCAGGGGCGGCGGCGGCGGTGGCAGGAGAAGGTCCAGCACGTGGGCAGTGGGCACAAAGGCCCGGTGGGTGGCCAGGAAGGCAGGCACGAAGCCTGGGTCCTGCTCGCGGTCTCCAGACACCAACTCCCGCACCAGCCGCTCCAGCCGCGCTGCCCTCAGCGCCCGCACCTTGCTGGTGCGATAATGGAGGAAGGTGTCGGCACCGGGGCTAGGGGCCTGCGGGGCAGGGTGACCGCAGTGAGACACAGAAGAGTGGGTCCCAGCATCCCATTCCAATCGTGTCTTTGGGAAGCACCGATCTTGCATTTGATCCTGTCCATTCTTCTGAATCCTGCCCCCTGAGTTCATCATTCTTCCCCCTAGCACAATCGACCCCCGAAACCCGCCTGGAACCTCCTCGTCCGCCCAGGCCCCGCCCTGCCCTCTGCCCCATTTACAAGTCACCCCTACCTCACCCCCACCTCCGCCCCCAGGCTGCTCCCAGCTCTCCTGCCGCGCTTCACTGGCCCGTTCCCAGGCTCTCCGCCCCACCTCGCTCTCGCCTGGTCTCTTCTAAAGACCACTCCTTCAGCTCCGCCCCACTAAACCTGGCTTACCTAGGCCCTGCCGTCCAGCTCCGTCCCCAAGTCCTGCAAGTCACCTCGGCCTCACCTGGCCCCGCCTCCTCATCTACCCCACTCACCTGGCCGCCCCCGGGCCCCACTCCATCCTTACCTGGTCGCCTCTAAGCCCCGCCCCTCCTTCGGGCCCCAGTTCCTCCCCTCCACTCAGCCCCGCCCTCACCTGGTCACCTTCCGCTCGGCCTCAGCCTCCTACCCGTTCCTCACCTGGGTGCCCCGAGGCCCTGCTCCCGGACTCAAGCGCTGACTGCGCTGCCGCCGCAGGGAGACACTGTACACCGCGCCGTCCTCGGTCTCCTCGCCCCAGTCCTGCAGCGGCGCCTGGACGCGGAGGCGAGCTCAGGACGCCGCAGGGGGAAGGCTCCTGGGACCACGGACCCGCCTCTTCCGCGGACTCAAGCCTGATCCCTCCAGTTTTATCCCCCTTTGCCGGCCAGAGTCAGTGAGACTCGGGGCAGGGGTCCAGGCTCGGGAAGTCCCCTCGGCGCCGCGGGTACCCTCCTACCTAGCCCTTGGGAGGATCGGGTGGCATTTGGGGACGTCCCAGGGTCCAGTCTTAGCGAGTCTGTCTCTAGTCCCTCCCGCAGATGCGTTCAGAGACACTCCCGCCACCAACCATCCCTAAAAGGAGCCAGCCACTTCACTGGGTCAGGGGCCGGGAGGCCAGAGGTAGGGACTCCCAGGCTGTTCCGAAGGGTCCGATTTGAGGGGAGAGAGGATCCAAGGGGCGGTCGGGGACCTGGAGTTTCTGGACTTGAGGGTCGCCAGGGATGTGGGGTCCTGGGACCCCAGGTCCCCTTACCAGGGCGAGCTCCTTGCTCGTCGTCCGCTCCATGGTCCGCTCCCGTCCCGCTCTGCCGCGCGGCTGAGTGAGGCGGAAGGGCCGGTCGGGGAGCAGTGGCCGGGAGTCGGGCCGGCGGGGCGGGGCGGCTGGGCAGCGCGGGGGCGGGGCGGGGTGGACCCACTGCTCGCGGTTGCCCCTGCCAGACCCCAGCGCCCAGCCCAGGGCCCTGGGGAAGAGGTCCGAGCTCTCCGGATAAATGTGTATAAATCTGAGCCCAGGAGAAAGGACGCCTCTCTCTCTCTCCCAGTGGAGGGCTCTTTTTTGTGTCCCCAGGTGTGGAGGAGCTAATGTGTACAGCTAAGTGGGGTACAGGTCTGCGTCCTCAGAAGGAGAGTCCGCTTGCTCAGACGGGGAGGGCTGGTCCGCCCCAGGTGTGGAGGTATTTCTCATTTCTCTGGAGGGGCGGAGGGAGCTCAACCTGTGTCCCTAGCTTATGGGAGTCATCACTCCCCAGGTCGGAGGGAGCTGAATCTGTGGCCCTGGTTTGAGGGGCAGCCATCTATGGGGTGGTGCAGGATCAAGGAGAGGCGAATACTCAGGGGGCTGGTGGTTGACCTTTAATGCGCGATTCCGAGGCCAGCGCGGACCAGCCTGGGGAGATTTACTGTGGGAACGTCCGGCAGCCCAGCCCCCTTCTCTACTCCAGGCATCGCCCGTCCGCTCCGCTCTCTCGTCCGGGCCGCGTTCAGCCCTTGAAGGGGCCCCGTGGGCCCGCCGCTGGGCCCAGAGGGGTTTGGGGGCTCCGCAGGGGCCCGCAAACGCCAGGTGGGCGCGAGGGCGAGTCTAGGACCTCCGCGAACGACCGCGCCTCTTGCTGCGGGACTCGATTAATTTCTGGGAACGCATCTTGAGCTCCGCGCGGGTCACCACGTCGTTGTCTTCGTCCTCACTCTCCTCTTCGTCTGCAAAGGGCGATGAGGGGATCAAGTTCCCATTCCCGGCTCAGATGTTCCTTCCCAGCCTTTACCATCCCACCACCACCTTGGCCCTAGGTCCGGCCCCTGACCACCTCCCGATGCTCTGCTTGGGCCCCCGGCCCCGCCCCCTTTCCTTGCCCGTACTGACCGAAGAACCTGTCCTTGCGACCGGTAACAGGCAGGGCGATGCGGGTGTTGTACATCGGCAGCTTTCCCTCTAGGGTGGAGTAGAACTGGGGGAGGGGGGAGCGGGAAGGAAGAGTGTGAGTGGGCAGAGGCTGCAGCGAAGTCCGTTCTCCCTCCTCCCCAGCCCACTCTGAGACATAACCTGATTCCATTCAGCACCTCTGTCCACTGCTGTAAAGTTTTCTTTGGTCGCTGCCGCGTCATTTGTTCTCAGCGTGCATCCTGATACCCCTCCCCCTCCCCCTCCCAGGCCCGCCCGTGGTCTCTAGGTCCCACCTCTTGTCCTCTGGAGGCCCCACCCTTGATCCCCCCAGCCTTGACCTCTGGCCCGCCAGGGCCCTCTGGGAACTCTCGTGGTGCATCCCTAGCTCCTTAAACCTCACGCCTTGTCCCTAAGGCCCATTCCCGGCCCATCGGCCTCCTCTCTGGTCTCCAGGGGGATGCCCCGACCTCCTGGTATTCCGCCCCAGCCCCTGCACCCTCAACCCCACCGCCTGGCTAAAGGGGTACCTCGCGGTCGGCGATGTGGCGCAGCAACTCTGGCACGTTGTGGTTCTGGAGTTGCGCCTGTAGCTTCAACAGTTTTTCCTCCACGAGGCCCAGTAGGTTGGGCAGATAGTCACCTGCCTTGGGATCCAGCTCCTTTCTGGCGAAGCGGCCGGCCTCCTGCGGCCGGGGGCGGAACCAGGTGAGTTGGAAGGGGGCGGGGCCTCTGGGGGCAGGTTCCACCCAGGGGCGGGGCTTTTCCTCAGGGACCAGGCCTTTGAAGTTAGGGGCCACCAACCGGAGCGGTGCTATCCTCTGTGGGGTGGGGATTCTGTGGTCAAGGGCCACGCTTATAGGGCAATTGCCTCTGAATTCCAGAGACCCAAGCCAAGGGATGGGGGGCGGGGGGAGTCTTTTAGTGGGAGGGCAGGGATACTAACTGGAGAGAGGCCATTGCTGGATGACCTTAAGAAATGGGATTCTGCTGCGGGCAGGGTGGGGCTTCTCTTATCTGTGGTCGCTCCAGGATTGGAGCGGGGTCTCTGAAGTTTTGGGTGGAGGTGTGTGTGTGTGGGGGGGGGGGCTAGGTGGGACTTTCCCATGGGGGCGGGATTTGAAATGGGACAGGGTCTCTAAAGTCCTGGGCCTCTTAAGGAGTAAGGGGGTGCCCCCTGAGACGTGAGGTGGAGACTCAGGAGTGGGTTGAGGTTTCCCCTGTGTCTAGGCCTCTCATGTCCTGGACAGGGCCTGCGGTGGGTTCTCTTGAGTGGGCTACGGGGCAGAACCCCACACCTGCGTGCTGGCACCGCCTCTCACGTCTTGCGGGGATTCCTCGTGGGCGGGGCCTGCCACTAGGATGTGGTTCAGTTTGCCAGCCAGGTGTTCCAGGCCCTCTTTGGTCATTTGCATTGCCCGCATGGCAAGCTGCAGCCGATCCTGTGTGTCAGCGCGCCGCTGCTCCTCCGCCTTGATGCGCCCCTGCAACTCGACTTGCAGCTTCTGCTCGCTGCGGGGAGCAGGGAGGCCACCACTGGAGCTCCACCGACCCCGCAGGCCCCACTCTCGCCGTCGGGCATCCGGGACCTCACCTCACCAGCGTGGTCTCCCCTGAGTACTTGAGGTCTTCGAGCTCCCGCTGCAGCCGCTGCTTCTCTTCCTTCAGCCTCATTAGCGTCTGCTCGTTCTGGCTTTTGAGTGTCTCCAACTGCGTGAAGGTGTCGCCCTGTGCCAGGAACCGCTGCACCACCGCCTGGGGGCCGCCCAGCCCGAGTCAGAGCCAGGGCTGGGGCAGGCAGGGGTGCACTCCTCCTTCTTTCCCCCGGGCACGCAGGACAAGTGGCTGAGCTGATGGCTTCTGCATAATGGTGTTTAGACACTCTGTGAGTCCGGCCCAGGGCTGCCTCGAGGGTGTGCAGCCCCGAAGAAATGATTTTTGCGGGCCTTTCCTTGTCTATATAGGGAAATTGAATCAGCCAAAATCGGATTGCGGGGCAGTGATAGCAGTGAGCACGGCTGCTTTCCAAACTCAACGTGCCAGCAACGTTCTGGCAGTGAATCTTGCCCACTCCCATGAGGAAATATGGCTGGGAAAGGCGCCTGGCCACAGTGCTCCAGATGACCCCACATGTCCAAGTCCTGGAACTCCTTGGAGGCTACCCCATAGGAGTAGTGGGTTGGAGAGCGCCGTAAGTGGAGAAACCCAACAGGGATCCAGGGGGATTAGTGTTCGCCAGCTGGGGACATAAATAAAGCCTTAGGAAATTTCAAGGAAGACGCTGCCACGCGTGGGCCCCAGAGCAGGGGCCCAGCTTCTCTGGGGCTGAGGCTGGCACTGGGCATTTTACTGCGCCCAGACCCTGCTACAGGTGCTGGAGGCACAGCAGAGAGAAAACACTCATAGTTCTCCTAGAGCTGATGTGGCAAAGACGTCAGCACCAGTGTAAGCCAGAACATTAGAGGATGATGGCCAGTGTAGATAACTCGTGTGGGTTTTGCTGAGAGAGGTAGCGGATTAATGAGGCAGTAGCTGGAGGAAGAAGGGGTGTCTTTTGTGTGCTGAAGAATTGACCCGGCAAAAAGGGGAGGCTGGGTGTGTTGGCTTCCCAGGCTCAGCTCGGGCGTCTGGGAGCTGGGAGGGCCGAGGGCAGCACTCACGTGCGTTTCCGCCACGCCGGTGGCGTCCTTGACCTTGCCGAAGAGCACCTCCATCTGGTACATGTCCCAGCGCCGCCGCAGCTCCTCCTCTTTGGAGTGCATGCTGTCCTGGAGCCTGTCGTTGGACTGCAGCAGCACCTGCTCGCGCTGGGTCTGCTGGTGGGTTGAGGTCAGGGCCGGGGTCAGCTCGCAGACAAGGGCTTAGGGCAGAGGCCGCGGGGGTTGGGGAAGTATCCGCACTGGGGTAAGGGAGGGGGTGGGGCCCAGGCGTGGGTAAGGGCACCCAGGCAGGGGTCGGGAGTGCTTGGCAGGGCCTTGGTCGAGAAAGGGAGGCCTCAGAAGCAGCGCAGAGGGACGGGGTCCAGGGGGCGGGGCCTGTCGGGTAAGGGGCGGGTTAGAGGCAGGATCAAATTTCCGACACAGGCAAGTCTTGTGGGGAAGGATGAGGATAGACCTGAGAGTAAGGGGAGGGCTGGAGGGCGGGGTCAGGGATGTGAGAGGAGCCCTGGCATCTAGTGGAGATGGGGGCGGAGTCAGGAGAAATGTCAGAACTGCCGAAGGGTCTAGGGCCTGGGCCAACATAGTGGCGCGGCCCTGGACCCAGCAGGGCCGCATCTAAGCAGGAGCAGGCTGGGGTCGTCACAGACCCGTACCCCTGGTGTGCCCACCTTGCGCTCCATGCGTTCGTTCTGCAGTTTCCTCTCCTCCGCGTGCTTCTTGCACTCTGTTAGGTAGCGTTCGCGCTTTTTGCGCTCTCGGAACACTGTCTCTTCCAGATGCTGCAGCTGGTTCTAGAGGGCAGGAAAGGGGGACAGCAGGACCTGCTGGCACCTATCCGGGCTCTGGGCCAGAGCCGCAGGCCCAACTCTAGACAGCTGGGTCAGGCTGTGGGGTCCTGGGAGAGAGATGGGACGGGTTCCGGGACAGCTGAGGTTCAGATGCTGGGGCCAGAACAGAAGACCACGGCGGCATCGGGGGTCGGGGGGCAGGACCCCCACCCCCCACCCCGCCCAGGACATGACGGGCTGGCACCTTGGCGATGTCCCTCGCATTAAGCGCCTCCTGATTCACTAGGTTCAGTTCCTCCAGCTCGTGTTTTGTTCTCACCACCTCAGCCTCCATGAAGTCCAGCCGGTTCTCCAAGCGAAGGCTCTCCTCCTGGGGCATGAGGGATGAGGCAGGCCTGTGACCGCTGTCCCTAACAAGGCTGGCTCTCCCACTTGCCGCCTCCCACCCCCAGTCACCCTGGTCCCTACCTGTAGATAGGCCTTGAGCTGCAGGTACACATTGGTGATGTGTTCGGCCTCCTCCACCTTCATCTGGGCCTTCTCCAGGCGGTTCTCCAGGTTCCGCATGGTCTAGAGAGAAGCAAGGCCGGGCTGGGTCCCTTCCCCCCTCAATTCCTCCCCCAGGATCAAGGCCTCTGCAGACCTCACTGGCCCCACCTTGGCCACCTCTGTGTTGCTATCTTTCGCCTCTGCCATCTCCAGCTCACGCAGACTGTGCTGCAGCTGGAGCTCCTCCAGCCACTTCTGCCGCAGCCCCAGCTGGTACCGAAGAGCATTCAGCTGCTTCACCTTCTCACTCAGCCGGTGGTCCAGGTGCTCCAGGGCCTGCTGAGGGGGGGCAGCAAGGGCAGAGGCCTGAACCCCCCACCTAGGCCTTCCTTCCTTCTCCCCTATCTTTTTTTTTTTAATTTTATTTATTTTTTGGCCGTGTTGGGTCTTTGTTGCGGTGTGCGGCCTTCTCATTGTGGTGGCTTCTCTTGCTATGGAGCATGTGCTCTAGGCACGCGGGCTTCAGTAGTTGTGGCTCACGGGCTCTAGAGAGTAGGCTCAGTAGTTGTGGCGCACGGGCTTAGTTGCTCCGTGGCATGTGCGATCTTCCTGGAGTAGGGGTCGAACCCGTGTCCCCTGCATTGGCAGGCGGATTCTTAACCACTGTGCCACCAGGGAAGTCCCCCTTCTCCTATATCTTGGTTCTCATCTCCCCTGACTCTTAGTAGCGTCTGACCTGGTTGATCCCCCTCCTCCTGCAGATTCTCTTTTTTTGTGGCTTCCAGGACCCCCACTTCTTGGTTTTCCACCCACCTCCCTGGCTGCCCCTTCTCCATCTCCTTTGCCTTTGAAGAGGTTCTTCTCTCATCTGACCAACCTTACCCCCTTGGTGATCCTATCCAGTCTCAGGGTTTCAAAAGTCACATATACACTGAAGACACCCCAATTTAGCCTCCCTCCTGAACTGTAGGCTCGTATATCCATATCTACACTGCCTTCCAGATGTTTCCACAGGCAGCTGAAAACCATCGTGTCTAAAACTATGTCCTTGATCTTTCCCCAAACCTGCCCTTCTTGAATCTTCCCCATCTCAGCTCATGGCAGTTCCACCCTTCCAGGTGCTCAAGTCCCAAACCTTGATGTCATCCTCACCTTCTCTTTTTCTCTCCCACCGCATCCAGTTTGTTAGCAATTCTCTGTTCTATTTCAAAGGTTCCTCCATAGAGAGCTCTTTCTTCCTATTTCTACCCCTTTGTTCCTAGTGCAGCCAACACCATCTTTCACCCAGTTGACCTCCTCCTGCCTTCTATTCCTGCCTCCTCACAGCCCACCTTCCATTTCTCTGATTCTTAGTATAAAATCTGCACTCTTGCAGTGAAGGCTGCTGCAAAGTTCTGCCCCTGCTGACCTCCCTGACCTCACCTCCTGCAGAGCCCCCCTCACTCACTACCATCCCGCCACACTTACCTCCTTTGTGTCTCCAACACTCTACTTTTGTTCCTACCCTAGGCACTTTGCACTTCCTATTCCATCTGCCTGGAATGCTTTTCCCCAGATCATTACCTGCCTGTCCCATTCTCAGCTCAAATATCACCTTCTTAGAGAAAGCAAAGACCCCCATCCTGCAGTCTAAAAGGCAAACCCCTGCCCCCATCCATCTCTAGTAAGTCAGTCTGTTTTATTTTATTTGTTTCTCTTGTCACCACTGGGAATTACTTTGTTTCTATATTTGTTGTTCTTGTTTTTTTTTTTGGGTATGTGTGTGAAGGTCTGTTTTCTCCACCAAGATATGAGATTTTGGGGAGTGGGGACATGGTCTGTTTCTTTCACCTCACGGTGACCAACACCTAAAACCATGCCAGGCACATGGTAGGTGCGTGATAAAGGTTTAGAAATAAATGAGTGGCTCCAGGTGTGGAGAAGGGATTGGAGAGGCGAGATAGTGGGAAGGGAGGCCAGCTGGGTGGGGACCCAGGCTGGAAATGAAGGGAGATGGTCAGTGGAATGGGAGTGGGGCAAACCTGGCCTGTCCTGTTCTTCAGATATGGCTTCTCTGATTTCCATTCCCGAATCACTGCCTGGATCACTTTCTCATCTCCCTGCAGAGAGAAGAGCCCAGTCACACTACTGATTCAGGCCACTTCTACTTGAGGTGGTGCTCTGCCCCTGGGGATGCTGCTCCCGCCCCCTGGCACCTCTTCAACCTCACCTGGAGCAGGTCTGTCAACTGTAATTGCAGCGCCCTGGTCTCCTCATGGAGCTGGTTGATGGTCTCCTGATTCTTTTTGATGTTCCACTGGCTGGTCTCATAAAAGGCCTTTCGGTCACCCTCTGGGGTCATGTGAGGTGGGTAGGCAGAAGCAGAGGATCATGGGAAGGGGGGACTTCCCAGAGGGAAGACCTTTTAGTAATTGTCAACCTAACATTGTAATAATATTTCACTTTGAGCATTTGTTATGTGTTGGATGCTGGACTAATAATTTTCTAGGTATCAAATAGCGTGTGCCAATAGGTACATATCCATATACAAATTATACCCATTTTACACATGAGAAGACTCGGGCTTATTATATTGTTCTAAGTCACAAGCAGTTGGACTCCCCAGCCCATACCTTCAACCACTATGCAAAATTACTTCCTAATAATAAAACAATAATGGTTTATACCAGGATTTCCCAACCTTGGCGCAACTGACATTTGGGATGGATAATTATTTGCTGTGGCGAGCTGTCCTGCGCATTGTCAGATGTTGAACAGCATCCCTGGCCTCTACCCACTAGATGCCAGTAACCCCCCCGCCCCCCACAGCAATGTGACAAACCAAAATGTCTCCAGACACTGCAAAATAGCCCTATTCCATTGAGAACTACCGGTTCACACTTTATAGTGTTACTATGTGCTAGGCGCTGTCCTAAACACCTTACACATTTCAACTACCTATGAGGTTGTACTGTTACTATCCCCATTTCATTGTTGGACAAACTGAGAGCAATTAGGTTACTCTTAGTCCCTGAAAGTCAAACAATTAGTATATGTAGAGCCAGGATTTGAACCCAGAAAATCCAGCTCTAGAAATCTATATTCTTTACCACTCCATGCATGATAGAAGAGTTGAAATTACATAAAAGTATGAAATGCAGTCCAGTCAGTTCTGAGCTCAGGAAAAGTTTTACAAGAAAGATGAGGAAAAACGTGAACCAGTATGAGTTTTTGCCTTCAGAAACTGGCCACTGGATGAACGCCAGTGAAACGCTCCTGCCAGCTCAGAGGACTGTTGACTCTTGACCCTTCTGTGCCCTGTGGAGCCATCTTACCTAACAGTTGTATCTTCCTTTGTAACTCAGCCACCTGCGTGTGCACAGCGGACTTCCCCTCGCTGGCGTGGAAAGGTGCCGCCTTGGAATGGAGTGAGTGCCAGGCCTGCACTGACCCCTTGCCTCGAGGGTGGTAGGGCTTGATCTGAGCCTGACTGCCCTTGACTTTGGAAGGAGCTGAAATCTGGTCCTGAGAAGGCATGGCGTTGGCGGAGGCCGCCCAACTCAGAGGAGACGTCATGATTGGGTTGAGGCCAAGGATCCCTGATGGTTAGGGGATCCGCTAGGAATTGCCTCGGTCCAGGATCCGTCAGCTCCTGTTCCTCGGGCTCTGGGAATGCACTTGTCTACCGCTTGGCGGGGCCTCGCAGCATCTACGGTTGCTAGGTAACCTTCCCCGCCTCCCTCCGGCGCTCCCAAGGAAATCGCCTGCATTCCAATCTACGGCTCTCATTGGCTGACGCTGAGCTGAGGGGCGGTCCCAATAGGGGACAGACCGGACCAGCTCCGCAGAAAGATGGGGGAGGGTACTTTGGAGTCACGTGCTCATCCCTTTTCCTCCCCACCCCTCCACCCTAACCCCGCCGAGGCGGTTCGCGGGCGTTTTTCAGGAACTTTCTGTTCCGGCTGCAGAACCCGACACTCCCAAGATGGAGGCACCTTGCGCCGCCATTAAGCGCTAACCTTCAGAACTATTCCCTTTAAGGCTTCACAGTCCTATCCAAGATGGCCGTCTCTGTTCCGGCCCCGCCACTTGCCACTCGCAACATGGCGGCCACGAACCGCCGTTCAGGGAGCGCAGCGTGATACCGGAAGTGATGCTTCCACACATTTCCGCTTTCTTTCTGCAGGAGGAACAGTTGGCTGCGGGGTCGGGGGGCGCGGTGGATATTGACCTTTGCCCCAGTCTCGTGTAGGTGGTGAACTAGTGGGCGAGAGGGCACCCCAATTTCCTCTTGGGGGCAGTCGAAGGCGGGAATTGGATAGCTAACCACCCCCTACTCATGGGGAGCGGAGGTTTTGAGATCTCCCCACCGTTGATTTGGGCCAAGTGAAATTCCCCTCCACTGGGCAGGATTGGGGAGACCCCCCCCCGCCCCCAGTATGGGAAGCAAAGTGAGCCCTCATTGCCCGGAAGCGATGGAGGAATCCAGTTGGCTGGAGGGAGAGGTGCCTTACTTCGGCTGGAAGTAGCCCTCTCCCACTGACCTGCCACCCCTTTCTTGCTGCAGCGCGAGGGCACAGCGCATCTCCCAGCAGCCTCCTTCCTCTGACAGAACCCGTTTCCGGCTTCCGAGGCTCCAGCGAGATGCTACTAGTGCTGCTGCTGCTGCCCATGTGTTGGGCCGTGGAGGTCAAGCGACCCCGGGGCGTCTCCCTCACCAGTGAGTCGGCCACTGGAGGTGGTCAGAGGTGGGGGTGGGGTGTGGGAGGCTCCTGGAAGAGGCACTTAACAGCCTTCGGTTTCAGTGTTCTGGTCTCTGGGCAGGGAAGGTGGCAATGCTCAACTGGTGGGTGCGGGGAGAGGAGCCGTTGGGTGGAAAGGGCCTCTTCCTGCCCTGGGCTGAGCCCCTTGCCCCCCTCCCCAGACCATCACTTCTACGACGAGTCCAAGCCTTTCACTTGCCTGGATGGTTCTGCCAGTGTCCCTTTTGATCAGGTCAATGACGACTACTGTGACTGCAAAGATGGCTCAGATGAACCAGGTGAGCTCTTTCTTCATTCGTTCATTCATCATCCATTTATTGAGCAGCTGGTGGGTGCCAGGTCCTGTGCTGTGAGCAAAACAGACCCAGTCCTGTCCTCAGAGAGCTCGCTGTTGAGTGGGGGGAAGCGGGCACAGAAGCGAGTGGTCAGTGGTTTGGTGAGGAGAGCGGGAGGTGCTGTGGGAGCCCGGAGGGGGAGGGGGAGGGGGTTTGTCAGGGTCCTGTTCTGAGGGCCTCAGGGAGGAGAGGCAGGAGGGAGCACTGAAGAGTTTTGTTTCAGGCCCCGAGCGTGCAGCTGTCTTTCCTCCTCTTACTTGGGATCAGTTACTCTCACATTCCTTGTTCCTTCTGTGTACGCAGTGGGTGTGACACGCTGGATTCTGAGCACACTCCACAAACCCTCCCTCCCTTCGTCCCCCCAGGCACAGCCGCCTGTCCCAACGGCAGCTTCCACTGCACCAACACTGGCTACAAGCCCCTGTACATCTCCTCCAGATGGGTCAACGATGGAGTTTGTGGTGAATGAGATCTCCCTGGGGTTGGGAACAACGTGCTGGGTGGAGGGAGGGAAGAGGCACTGCCGGGTCCGATGGTGCCCACACCTCTTCCCTCAGACTGCTGTGACGGGACGGACGAATACAACAGCGGGATCGTCTGTGAGAACACCTGCAAGTACGTAGGTGACAGCCCCCCATCCCCCCCCCCACCCCTCCAGACCTTGCCTTGCCCCACTGGGTGAATCAGGTTCCCTCTCTTTTCTGTTTTTGTGTACTGAGTGCTCACCCCGTGCCAGGTGCCTTGTGAATGCTCCATCGGCAATTTCCTCTCTGGCCTGGAAGCAGGTGCAGTTTGCCTAAGAACAGATGAGGAAGCTCAAGGTTAGAAAGGAGAATGACTTCCTCAGGGTCACATAGCTAGGAGATAGCAGAGCCGAGACTTGAACCCAGGTCGGTCTAACTTGAGATTGCATGCTTTTAACTGCTGTGTTCTGCAGCAGGACTTGAAAACTGAAATGCCCACAGGTAGGCAATCTAAACAGCACAGCAGGCTGAGTATAAGGCAGCAGGGAGTGGTGGGATTGTGCCATCTAAAGGCACAGCTGCCCTCCACTCCTGTGAGTTGAGGGCAGGTGGCAGGGCTGGATTTGTTTTTCAAAGAAGCTGAGAGTCCCAATACTTCTGTAAACTCTTTTGATGGAAGATCTTTGAAACAGAGAGTGGAGTAAGCAGAACAGTGCTTACCGGCCAGATTTTGCCCTTTGTGTCTGGGGGTCTGTGACTTCTCTGCTTTTCTCTCCTCCCTCTCTTGGGAGCCACCTTCCAGCCTCACATCCCAGCACCCCCCCAGTCCCTCCCCTGACCCTGAGGGTGGACGAACCCTGCCCATTGTCCTTCCCCACAAGGACAGGGATGAGGGACTCTGAGGCCAAGAGAGCCTGGGGAGGTGGGGAGAGGAGGGTTTGTTCTCCTGTCTTTGCCCACATAGGGGGTGTGAAGGCATGGGTGTTGAACCCTTTTGGAAGGAGCAGACCTGGTGGATGCTAAGTGCCCCCGACGCCATCGTGCCTATGTGTCCCCTCCCCCCAGAGAGAAGGGCCGTAAGGAGAGAGAGACTCTACAGCAGATGGCGGAGGTGACCCGCGAGGGGTTCCGCCTGAAAAAGATCCTAATTGAGGACTGGAAGAGGGCCCGAGAGGAGAAGCAGGTGAGGGGCCCGGTGGGGCTGACCCAGGACAACCTGGAGGTATAGGCTGAGGAGGCCGGCTGGGGTTGATGTCTGCTCCTGACTCGTGGTGTCCTGGGGCCAGTTACTGTCTCTCTGCGCCTTGATTCACTCGTTTGTCCACTTGGCATTTAGTCGTTGCTTAAGCGGGTACCAAGTGGGTGGCAGCCAGTACAGGCATCGACCTGGGCCTTGGGTGCAGACTGAAGTGGGCTCAGAGGAGCTCTGCTGCCCCTAGGACAGGAGGGACACGTCTGCATCCTGGTCCCAGGGTTCTCTCATCTGTAAGTTAGGGTTAATGGCTACATGACTTCCCAGTCTGGGGGAGGACTCGAGAGGGGGGTCAGTCAGTCGCAGTCACGTTAGTTCAATAGGGTGGGTGCTGGGGGGGCCAGAAGAGGGTGTACCCCCAGGGGTGTGTCTCTCCCTCCCCTGTCTGCCACCCCCTTGGCTGTTTGATGGGTCAGAGTCCTCAACACTCCTCCTGGGCTCTTGCCCGACCCACTGAGTAAGGGCTCCAGCTCTGTTTCTCTGCCCTGGACAGCTTCCAGGTTTTTCTCTCCCACCCCCATGGCCTGGCTAGAGAGGTACCTCCCGAATTTATGGGGCAGTGAATTCAGAGCCAGTGTGATACTTCCCGAGTTTAGAGGATGCTGGGGGAGCCACATGGTGAGGTTGGCTCCGGGTGATCTTTGCCCTCCTGGGCAGGTGGGAGGATCGTGGCAGCAGACCAGGCTGAGGTCTTGGGAGGAAAGTGATCCCGTGTGGGCTTGGGCTAAGACCCTACAGCTTGGGACCCCCATCCCTAGGCTGGAGTCCACCCAGCACACACATTCGTTTTTGAAATAGCCACAGAAAACCAGGATGCACTGGGCTCGTGCATCATGGCTAGAAGCAAACGTGGAACTAGATGTGGAACTGCCTCAAGAGTGCATCAGCTAGTGGGAGGGACACACAGACAAAGTGATAGCCAGGGCTGAGGGGAGAAGGGATGTTCGGGGCTGTAAGGCATAGAGAAGACTCTTGCCCGGTCCCTCTGTTCCCCGAACCCGTCTTGGGGGTAGGAAGTAGGGAAGACTTCCTGGAGGAGGAGGCTTCCATCTAAACTGAAATCTGTTGGGTAATTCAGAGTTAGCCAGGCAGAGTGTTCCAGACAGAAGGAAAGCATGTGTGAAGAACTGGAGGCAGAGAGTGGGGCTCTGAATGTTGTCAGGGCAGTTGGATCTTAGAGTTTAAGATAGCAGTGGGGTGGATGGGGCTGGAGAGATGGGCAGGGGCCTGGTCATGCAGGGCCTCGGGGGCTACATTGACGTCTTTGGGTTTCTCTCCAGTGGGCTGCAGGGAACCACAGCAAAGGGGAGACCCAGAGAGGGGTGTGTATTTTGGAAAGATCCTGTGGCCACCCTGTGAAATAGAGTCAGGGAGATGGCCGTCTGTGAGGAAGAGGGTGGAACAGGAAGAGAGCTGATCCCTGTCTTCTGCCTACCCAGAAAAAGCTCACTGAGCTGCAGGCTGGAAAGAAGTCACTGGAGGACCAGGTGGAGTTGCTGCGGACACTGAAGGAAGAAGCTGAGAAGCCAGAGAAGGAGGCCAAGGACCAGCACCGGAAGCTGTGGGAAGGTACATCACTACGTCCCAGGGTGGCCGTGACTTGCCCTTGGCTCCTGGCTGGGAAGAGTCTGGGCCCAGGAGCCTCTTGCTTGTTATCTCTCATCTGTGGTTTTGCTGATTTTTTAAATCATGGCACTTTAGTTCCCTGCGTGCCCAGTTATCTTTGTGTGTTGGTCACTGTGTTTAAAAGTCATTAATAGGAGTAACTTGCAGTCTAGGATGAGAGGTCCCTCTCTAGAGAGGAGGGGCTTTTCTTTCTGCCATCTCTGAGCACTACCATTCAGGGATCCCTTGAATCCAAATTCGAGGCTGGAGATTCTTCCAGCCTCACAGGCAGTGTGAGCCGAGGTCTAAGCATAGGCTGGGTAATTTCTGGCCCAGCTTATCCCTGAGGGGAGCCCCGTGGGGTCACAGTTATGCTGGGGGGGGGGCGGTTCACCTTGGACTTTGATTTTCATTTCTCTTCCCTCACAAGTTATCAAAATGGACATCCACATTTGCCAGGATTGGCAAAATCCCTTAGGGTGAAAGCGGCTTCCATATTCTCTTGCCTTCTTGATTTCCTCTTGGTCCTGGAAACTCCTACTGTCTTGGTTGGTTTTAAGATGATTTTCTTAGGCTTTGTCCAGCATTTCGTTGCTGTTGATAGATTGTGTTGCCATTATGGGAAATCTGAAGCCTTGGCATTTGTTCTCAGTCTGCTCTGTGCAGGGGCACATGGTGGAAGGAGGATAGAAGGGAGAGGGGGGACAGAAACCCATTCCAGGTTAGTTAAAAGACCAAGCATTGCTGGGAGGATTTGGAGGTGTGGCTCCAGCTGGTCACCAGGCTGGTGACCAGGAACCGGCAGTCTTCTCTCTGAAGCCATTCTGTGATCTCATCCATCTCTTTGAGCATCTGCTGTGTTCTCCCTTCCTTTCCTATCTCTGCTCTGATTTCTCGTAATCAGTAATTCAGTCATTCATCTAACAAGCATTTGCTGTGTACCTGTCATGTGCCAGGTGCACCCCAGGTGCCAGCAATACAGGATTGAACAAGACAGAGAAAGCCCCCTGACCACAGAGGGTGGGAGGGAGTGCCGGCAGAGGGAACAGGTGCAAAGGTTCTGAGGCAGCATCTTGTCTAGTTTTTAAGGAGCAGCAAGGCGGCCGTGTGGGGGAGGGAGAGGAGACTCTCCCCTTTATTTACACAACATCAGCTTCTTTTGTGATACAGCTACAGAGCCGAGTGGTTGCCAACAGAGACCTTATGGGTTGCCAAACCTAAAATATTTTAGCATCAGGCTCTTTACAGTAAAGTTTTCCGACCCCTGACAAAGACACTGATATTCTGTCCCACACTGATGATAGCTGGACCAGAGCACCCAGTGCTTGTTTCGTAAGGATCGTCGTGTCGCTCCTGCCTCCCTTCCCTATGAACTGCACCCAGACGCAGCCCTGTGTCACAGATGAGGAAGCTGAGTCCTTGCCCAGCGAGGTTGATGCCCAAATCTCTCTGATTCAGACCCTGTCCCTTAACTGGAGGCTTGAGTCATCTGCCTGTTCCGCCTGGCTCAGGGCCCAGCATTGCCCTGGCCTCCTGATGGCCTCCCTCCATCAGGCCAAGCCATTCTTCTGCCCAGCAGTCTTCCCGGCTCCCCAGTGCCTTGGGTGGGACAGCATTTGGGCCACCACTTCCTGGTTACGATGCCCCCCCTGCATCGAGAAGTCGAGTACTTTTCCCTGCACTGCACCCTGTGCACTCACCACATTGGTCTGATTGCCTTTCCCCTGGAACTGCTGCCCTTTATTGCTCCCAGGCCTCTGCTCCAGCCATTCCCACTGCAAATACAGAGGTGTCTAGTGGGCTCTAGGCCCAGTGCTCAGCAGTGACACATGAGGCCCCATCCTGCAGCCCTGCTCACCTTGAAATGGGAGCAGCAGATCAGTGAGTCTGTCCCACTGTGCCCCAAGCCCTCAGATGCCGCTGCCTCCACACTTTCCAGCTTCCTTCCTGAGATCAGCCCTTCTGATCACATGTGACAAAAACCCAACTTGAACCCACTTCATAAAAAGTGGAAGCTTTAGGCCCAGTGGGACTCTAGGCTCCCTGGATGGCAGGAGTCCTCCCTCCACCTCTGGGCTCTGCCTCCTTCTCTGTGGGCTTCGTTCCCAGGCAGGCTCTGCCCTCCTGTGCCAGCACAACGGCAGGCAGCACTAGGTTTATTTCCTTCTGGCTCAGCAGCCCCAGCCAGTAGAGAATACCACTTTCCCACAAGTCCCAACACAAATTCCAGGGCAAGCTCCTATTGGCTTGTCCCAGGTCACGTGACTGCCCATGAACCAATCCCTGGAGCCAGGAGGTGCAGCACAGGTTCTGATTGGTCAGGCCTGAGTGTAGGGTGGGTAGTTGCCCACAGGGAAATGGAGGAGGGGTAGTGTAAGCAGGTGGGGTTGTTTGCTGGAAAGGTAAAGCTGAGGGTTGGAATTACCCTCCTTTGCTGGGGTCTTATTGCTTCTACTATTCTCTGCCCTCTTGGGTTTTGGAGTGAGTAGGTGGTGACCAAGTCAGACCTGTCAAGGGCCAGCACAACATGGGGTCACCCAGCTGGACTTTTAAGGGTGGTATGAGTTCCAAGGCCAGATCATCGGAGGTGGGGTGTGTGAGTGTGTGTGAGAGACGTGGGATGTGACTGGGGCCTTGAAAGAAGGCTGGGAGTTCCCTGCTCTATTTCTTCCTAGTTTCCACGTGATTTAAAATATCCCATCTGACTTCCATATTCTCTGTTAAAAAGATTTTTGGGGGTAACAATCCTGAAAGTAGTAAAGTAGAAAGGGAGAGAGTTTTCCTCCAGGTTAACCTCTACCAGGAGGCGTGAAACCTTCCAGACCTTTCTGTTTTTTTTTTTTTTTTTTTGGTGGTATGAGGGTCTCTCACTGTTGTGGCCTCTCCTGTTGCGGAGCACAGGCTCCGGATGCACAGGCTCAGCGGCCATGGCTCACGGGCCCAGCCGCTCCACGGCATGTGGGATCCTCCCGGACCAGGGCACGAACCCATGTCCCCTGCATCGGCAGGCAGACTCTCAACCACTGCGCCACCAGGGAAGCCCTTTCCAGACCTTTCTTGTCCATCCCAGGCAGAGATGCAATTCTTCAGAGGGTAGTAACTCTGGGTGTCGACCCCAAAGCCACACTTCAGGTGCCCAATGGCCACGTGTAGCTGGTGGCTGTCATTTTGGCCAGCAGAGGCAGACCATGTCCATCTTTGTAGAAAGTTCTGTTGGACAGCACTGGTCTACATGGTGTATGGGTGTTGTGCTATGTCTGTGTGTACCTCATTTCCTTTTTTTTCACTCAGACCCTTCACTTTTTTTTTGTATTGTGGTAAAATCCACAAAATGTACAATTTACCATTTCAACCAATTTGAAGAGTACAGTTCAGTGGCATCAAGTACATGCACCATGTGCACCCCTCTCTGCTCTCTCGTTCCAGAGCATTCCCGTCTCCCCAAAAGGGGAACTCCATGTCCATCAAGCAGTCCCTCCCCATCCCCCCGCCCCCCAGCCCCTGGCCACTACTCATCTGCTGGGTTTACCAGTTCTGGACGTTTCGGATCAACAAAACCAGGCAGTGTGTGGCCTTTGTGACCGACTTCTTTCCCCGAACATCGTGTTGTCAAGGGTCATCCACATTGTAGCCTTGTGTCTGGACCCTACTTCCTTTTAACAGTTGTGTCTATTCCGGTGTATGACCCTGGCAGGACTTATTTAATCCAGGTGCCATTTTTTTCTATCAGGTTCGCAGTGCTGGTTTTCATCATTCGTAAACGCCTGTTGTGTATTAGGGTGTTGGCCCTTTGTGACCGAAGTTGCCGGTGTTTTCTTATCATTCATCTTTGGTGCCAGGTTCCTGGTGTCTTCTTGCTGGGCCGTGTGTTAGAAAGTGAATTCAGGGACTTCCCTGGTGGTCCAGTAGTTAAAACTGCGCTTCCACTGTAGGGGGTCGTGGGTTCGATCCCTGGTTGGGGAACTAAGATCCCGCATGCCGCAGAGTGGCCAAAAAAGAAAAGAAAAGAAAGTGAATTCACTCTTCTCTTTGCTTCTGTTTCCACTGTTTTGCACCACGGCGAGCGTCCTTTTACACAAGGCTGGGCGTACTCGTGCCCCATTTCCCTTAGCCCGAGTTCTCAGCATGGAGTTGCCGACTCAGGTTCAGGGGTAACATGCCAGGGTTTGACCCAGATTCCCAGAGGGTGGTGGGGATGAGCACGGGCTCTGGAGGCAGACGGCCCGGCTTGGGCCCCCGGCTCTGCCCCTCGCCAACTGGGTGACCATGGGCGGGTCCCTTCATCCACCTGAGCCTCAGGCCCTCATCTGTGAGGACGGTGTCGGCTGAGTCTGCTGGGGTCTCGTGGTGTCTCCGGGGACACAGGCCACTTGTCCTGATGCAGAGGGCTGAGCTTCATAATGGAGCTGCCCCTGTGGCTGCTTTCCTGAAGCCCACCTGAGCCGGGTAGTGATGAGGCAGACAGGCAGAGGAGGGACCATCAGAGCAGATATGGGGCTAAGGCCCTGTGTCCACTGGCCACTCCCAGTTCCCTTTTTCCGTGCAGGTGGCCTCTCCCCTCTCTCCTGGGCCCCCAGGACATCTCCCTCGCCTGGCTGCCCCCCAGCCCCAGTCTCCGTCCCCTGACCTTTTTCCTGCTTGGCCTCTTCCCGCGGGGCCTCCCGGACATGGCAAACCTAGTGCATGGTCCCCCGCCTGCCTCTCACAGCCACCGATCGTTCAGACCATCTGCAGAGCCCCTCAATCTGGCACTTCCTACCTCCTTGGCCCCCTTGCCCCTGCACCGGCCAGCCCTTGTCATCTCCTTGCTCCCACCCCCATAGCGGCCTGACTCAGGGCCCCAGCACCCAGTGGAGGGCTGGCCATACAGCGGCCCCCCTGGGGCGTTGGGGAGGGCAGATTTTGGGGTGGCGGGAGCTGTAGACGGTGCAGAGGATGATGGGCTGGTCCCTCCACAGAGCAGCTGGCCGCCTCCAAGGCCCAGCGAGAGCAGGAGCTGGCGACCAGTGCCTTCCAGGAGCTGGACGATGACATGGACGGGGCGTGAGTGTGTGGCACTGCCTGCCCTGGGCTCCCTCCTCCCATCCCCGCCTTCAGAAACCAGCCAGAGCCCACCTCCTCGCCCTGGGGCCCCCAGGGCCTGAGCTGGTCCCAAGCCCTCTCTAAAGGAGCCTCTGCTTGCTCATGTATAAGAGGGGTCTAGAGCAACCCCGGAGGAGGAGATGAGGGAAACCACCCCCTCAAGGAGCTGGGCCCTCGAGGGGACTAGGGATCCCACTACTTTTCACAAGCCTACTCTGCGGCCTGGGACACTTTGGTGAAAGTCAGAATCCCTCCTGCGCCCCTGAACTTGCTGGCTGACCCCAGGCAAAGGGCTCGGTGGAGGGTGGGCTGTCGGGAACGAGGAGGCTGGGCAGCCCCCTGGTGGGAGGCTTCGGAGGGACCAAGGGGGCAGAATGGGCAGGGGCATTCCACACCCTGGTTGGCGATGGTGCGGGTGGAGGGACAGAATGTGGTGCCTGGGCCATTGTGGGTATTGGGGCTTGGCTGCGGGGAGGGCGCCAGGCCAAGGGCAGTTTCGATGGGTTGGGCTCTAAGGGTGGAAGGAAGTGGAAGCTGGGTCTTGGGGGACACAGGGTTGTCCAGGTATCTCCTTCTCCCACCCCTGTGTCCTTCCCTCCCTTGAGCCCCTCAGGGTTGTGGAGCCTCAGGAGGGGGTAGGAGGGTGGGGACTGGGTGGCTGCTTCTCCTGGGGGGTGGGGGCCAGAGGGGTCCAAACCCCAGACTTCATTTTTTCTCAGCTTCCTGCTGCTCTCCCCTCCCTGCCCCAAGGTTCTGAAGCAAGTTCTCGGGGCGGGGGGGCCTGGCAGGGGGAGGCAGGCAGCTGGCCAGCAGCCAGTGGGCTCACCCCTCCATTGGCTTCTGCCTGTGCCCCTGCAGGGTCTCCGTGGCCGAGCTGCAGACCCACCCGGAGCTGGACACAGATGGGGACGGGGCATTATCAGAAGGGGAAGCCCAGGTACCCAACCGGCCCCTTCACTTGGGACTCCTGGAGGGGATTGCCCCAGGGTGACCTCAGGGCCAGGGGGCCCAAGACAGGCTGGCGGTGGGCTACTCCCATGGATGGTTCCCGGCTGGCCCCAGGCCAGGGCTGCTGGGGTGCGCACTGTGGCTGATGCGGCCAGGCCTTGTGAGTGAGCCAGGAGGGCAGCCACCCAGGGCCGCTTCTCCCTGCCCTTTGGGACCTGGTGGGGTCGCGCAGGTGCCCAGGGGTGTCTGATCGGGACGGAGCCAGGTTCCGCATACGCGTGCCCCACCTGCTTCGCCTACCCCGCCAAGTGGCACGTACCTGATTCACCTTCCTCACAGCTGGGCCTGTAGCTCTTTGTCTTTGCTGGTTTGGTCCCCCGTCCGTCGCTGTCCTGCTGGTCCCCACTGCGCCCCCCCCCCCCCCCTGCCTCTATCTCCGAGGGCCTGGGCACCTCTGGTGCCCCTGCCTCTCAGTTTCCCTCCCTGGTCTCTCCAGTCCCCACCCGACACCTCTCTGGCCCCGCTCCTTTCCCACAGGCCTGTGCTGCCCCCTTCTGGCTGCCGCGCCTCACCCAGCCTGGCCCCGGCCTGGCCATGGGAGGTCAGGGCGTGCTGTGCCTGGCACCACGGCCTGAGGGGCCCCCCCACCCCCTCCGAGAGTGCCTGGGGTGCAGGGAGGCACATGGAGGTCCTGCTCCTGACACCACCCCAACATAACGCACACAGACCCTTCTCGGGGGAGACACGCAGACAGATGCCGCTTCCTTCTCTGACCGCATCTGGGCTGCCATCCGGGACAAGTACCGGTCCGAGGTCAGTGGGGGGAGGGAAAGGGATGTGGTCCTGCCCCCCCCTCGCCCCGCCCCTCGATGCCTCACGAAGGAACGGCCTCCGTTTTCTGGCGCCGGGCCACCCTGGCCAGCTGGGCAACCCCACCCCCTCCACAGAGGCCTCCCCGCTCCCAGCTGACTGTCCCTCCCTCCCGCCAGGCTCCTGGGAAGGGCTAGAGACACGAGGCCTGGACCCAAGCCCTGGGGGTGGGAGGTGGACTCCCGAGTCCACAGCACCGACCGCTCCGCACGTCTGCCAGGTGCTGCCCACCGACCTGCCGTCGCCTTCTGCACCCGCCTTGACGGAACCCAAGGAGGAGCAGCCCCTGGGGCCCTCACAGCCCGCAGAGGAGGAGGACGAGGAAGAAGAGGAGACAGAGGAGGAGGAGGGTGGGGAGGAGGGGGAGGACGAGGATTCCCAGGTGCCAGGGGAGCAGCCCAAGGTGTGTGTTCAGGGGAGAGGCGGGTGATGGGGGCAGGGTGGGGTCACTCGCTGACTCTGTCCCCCCCACCCCCCAGGAGACCCCACCCCCAGTCGTGCCCCCCCAGACAGTCAGCCCCACAGAGGAGGACAAAATGCCGCCCTACGATGAGCAGACACAGGCCTTCATCAATGGTGAGGGTGGAGCCTGGGAGGGGTGAACGCCTCTGCATCGCCTGCACCTGCAGGGGCCCAAGAAAGAGGCCTTACCTGCTCCCAGAGGTGGGCTGAGGCTGGCCCCGAGCAAGCCCAGGGGACTTCGGGTGGCCTGGAGGGGGCTTCTGGGGCCTGGGGATGGCTAGCACCGCCTCCACCGGCCCCAGGGGCCCTCCTGCCTCCTCACGGGCTGGCAGGTGAGGAGCCGGCTGGGCCCCGGGAGCCCTGGCCCTGCTCCTGCAGGAGCTGAGAGCCCAGGCAGTGGGGTGGGGTCTGCCCTGGGGCTGGCGAGGCCCACAGAATCTTCGTGGGCCCAGTCCTCGCCCAGAGCAGGCCCGGGGGCTGGGGGAAGCCGGCGTGGCTGCGGCATCCCCTTCCCTCTCTTCCTGGCTGGGAGTCGGGGCACCTCTGATCTCCTTCCCTGCCCCCACCAGCTGCCCAGGAGGCCCGCAACAAGTTTGAAGAGGCCGAGCGGTCCCTGAAGGACGTGGAGGAGTCCATCAGGTATGGGTGCCTGTGTGGCCGCAGTGCCGTCTGCACCGGCCCCACAGCTGCCTGCTGCTGGGCTCCCCAGGGGAGGTGGTGATGGGGAGTCGCCCGGGCGACCTCGGGCAAGGTGGCAGTGGCTCCTGCAGGGAGGGTCCCCAGGTGATGGGGAGCAGAGCCCAGCCCCCAAGAGGCCCTCTGCCACCGGAGTGGGCCTTCCTGTGCTGTCCTGAGTCGGGCTGCGGCGGCCCCAGCTGCCGCTTAAGCTCCCGGCCTCCGCTTTTAGGAACCTGGAGCAGGAGATTTCCTTTGACTTTGGTCCCAACGGCGAGTTTGCCTACCTGTACAGCCAGTGCTACGAGCTCACCACCAATGAGTGCGTCCCCCACGGACAGGCGGGGTGGGTGGGCTGGGAGGTCCTGGGCCTGAGCAAGGATGGGGGGAGTGAGGAGGGGGGCTTAGGAGCAGTCACTGGAGTTTGAGGTACTTGTGTGCCCCCTGTGGGGGGGGGATGTCATGTAGGTTGGGGCCCGGGTCTCCCCTACCCACGCACCCCATCCCGTGATAGGTACGTCTACCGGCTCTGCCCCTTCAAGCTCGTCTCGCAGAAACCCAAACTCGGTGGCTCCCCCACCAGCCTCGGGTGAGTGGGCTCAGGCTGGGCCCCCCTCTCAGCCCCTGGTCCCCCTGGCCGCCCGGCCGGCCCCGCTCAGCACCCCACTCTCCCGCAGCACCTGGGGCTCGTGGGCTGGCCCCGACCACGACAAGTTCAGCGCCATGAAGTATGAGCAGGGCACAGGCTGCTGGCAGGGTCCCAACCGCTCCACTACTGTGAGTGCCCGGTGGGTGGGGCCGGTACGGGGGACCCAGGCCCACCAAGCCTGCCTGAGCCCCGCCTGCCTGCCCCCCGCCCCAGGTGCGCCTGCTGTGTGGGAAGGAGACAGTGGTGACTAGCACCACGGAGCCCAGCCGCTGCGAGTACCTCATGGAGCTGATGACACCGGCCGCCTGCCCAGAGCCACCGCCCGAACCGCCTGCCTCGGGCAACCGCGATGAGCTCTAGCCCCGCCCTGCCCCGCCCGGCCCGGCCCAGAGGTGGGTGGGGAGGTGAGACCCCTACCGCCTCGGCTGGGGGATGCAGGGGGTGGTCTAGGTCCCATTGATGCTCCCCCCACCCATCTCCCTCCATCTGTGTCTCATTTGGTTTCTCTGCGGCCCCAGAACCTCAAGACGTGGAACCAGCCCCCAGCGGTGCTGCCCGCCTGCCCCTCAGTCTGTAGACCAAGGCTTGCCCCTCTGGGTCTCCTTGCCCTCCCCAGCGGGCAGGAACCGGGTGGGGCTCCATGCCCTGCTCTGGGGGCAGGCGGGGCAGAGCCACGGTCCCCGGCCCCAGGTGCCTCTACAGGTGGAATAAAGGAGCCTGCCCTCCCTGGACCCCCGCCCTGGTGGCACCCCCGCCACCCAACCCTGTCCCCCACCCAGGGCATCTGCCTCCCCTCCTGGTGCGGAAGAGTGACTTGACCTGTGACCTCCAAACAATAAACGTGATCTCCCCAACTCATCTGTCTGTCTTTGCTTGGGTGTGGAATCAGCCAGGGGTGCGAGAGGGCTAAGTGCGAGGGGAAGCAGCTCTGCAGATTCTGTGCGGGCCTCCTTCCCCATCAGGCTGGCTCCACAGTTGGGGGTCTCACCTGAGATGCCCCGTGGACAGCACAGCCTGGTGCCACTGGACAGACGGCCCCTGGGCCACTTCTGTCTGGGTTTCCACCTGGACTTGTCTCCCACCTGCTAATCACAAGAGTGCTGTGGGAAGGCCAAGAGGCTCCAGATGAGATTCAGGCCCAGAGAGGGACAGCAGCTTGCACTCAGCCACACAGCGGGGCTGTTGACACGTGCTCCAACACTCCCCGCACGCCGTTGTACATACATCTGAGGCCATAAGATTCTGAACTTTTATTTTCTGGCATGAAAAGTACAAATAATTAAACAATTCCATGTAAAAGTCTGTTACCGCGGCCAGGCCTGTAATCCCGGTAATAAATAGTGTCTAAACTCAACGCAAAGTGTTCTTGTTGTTGGGTTTTGGGTTTGGTTTTTTTTTTTTTGTCTTTTTTTTTTTTTTTTTAAACAGTTCTTTATCACCTCCAACATGGACTCTGTCTTGATTTGAAACCATCCAAATAAATAACAGGATGAAGGGAGGGCTGGAGGGGCTGAGCCCCTTCCCCATGGACCCTGCCCCTGCCTCCCAGGGATGTGGAAGACCCCAGGCCCCCTCCCCTGGGGTGAGGGGCTGGCCTCCAGGAAGGGGGCCTGGCTGGCTGGGCTGAGTTCTGTGTTTTAGAAAAAGGAGTCCCCTCCCAGTCTTGGGGGTGGCAGGGGCTCAGGCCTCTGTGAGGGGGTATGGGGAGGTGCCCCCTCTCCAGAGCCCGGCCCCCCCCAGGGTGAGGGACAAACCCAGCCCTTATTGCTCACAGATGCCTCCGCCACGCTGCCCACGTGTGGACACGTGTCACCGCACGGAGTGCAGAGGGGAGAAAGCCCCAAGAAAACAGAGGGAGAGGGATGGACCCGCTGCGGGGCCTGCCCTGCTGGAGGGGAGCGGGGAGGTTGGGGAGGACTTAAAAACCACAAGAATAAATAGGTTTGTGTATCAAGAACAAGCTAGGGTTTCACCAGCTAAATAGGACTGAAAAAATTCTCAAGACGAGCAAAAATAATCCCATTAAGACCCCGGACGTCGCTGGCCGTGGGGACCGCCCTGCAGAGCACAGGTCCCCCAGGGCGCCGCTCGGCTACCATTACTGTTATTAATAATTATTATTACTTTAATGATTCCACTTCCCCTTTTATAAATAAATTAGGCATAACCACGTCTCGGCAAAACTTAAAGAAACAAAGAGAACATCGTGGTTCCTTTAAACTTGCAAACTGGATGAAGGAACAGAAATATACACAAATGTCCTTACAGGGCAACAAGGAGGATAAATAGTTAACATAGCAATAAGTTAAAACTACAAGAAGCTCAATTCGGCAAAAAAGTACAAGAAAGTTAACTGGTGCCAGTTTATCTCCTTTTTGTGTTTTTTTGTCGCTTTTTTGATTTTTTTTTTTTTTCTTTTTGTTCCTTGCAGCAGAAGCTCCACAGACGTTTAATAACAACACCGGGAGGGGTGGGGGAGAGAGAGCTGGGCAGTCAGATGGGGCCATGGCCAGACACCAAATGCAGGGACACCACAGAAAGGGCACTGAGGCTAAAATCGGGGTTTGCCATTCTCAGTTCTGACTGGGCCCTCTGCGGGGGGTGGGGGCTTCAAGGGCTCCCAGGGGGCTCCGGCTTTTGGCTTCTATTGGATTTTTGTTTGTTTGTTTTTTACAAAGAGTGAAAACTAGGGGGATGGAAAGTCCAGACAGAAGCCAAGGCCGGGGCTCGGGATAGGGGCTGCGTCCACTGCCCTCACTGATCTGGAAAGACGGAAAAACCCAACAAACTGAAAGGGGGTGACAAGTGGACGGAAAGGGAATGCGGGGCTGGGCCCCTGGGCCCATCCACCCTGGGCCTGGCGGAGAGTGTCGGGGCACTTGCTGCTAAGGAGGCTCTGGAGTGGAGAGGCTCAGGGCCTGGCCTCCCCCTCGGCCTCGTGGGCCAGGGCCTCGGCCCAGGGAGGCTCAGCCCCAGGGATGGGGGTCCTTTGGCCTCAAGCGTTGGGTGGGCTGCCTCCAGCCCACCATGATGCCAAAAGGACAACGAGGTATCGTGTGTCTGGATGCATGGACGCTGTGTGTTCACGCCTGTGTTCGTGGGCGGCAGGGACCATTGAGGAGCCAGGAGAGAGCTCTGCAGAGAACCTGGGGCAGGGGCGAGTGGGGCTGAGTGCCAGGAGGAGGGGTGGGCCGGCCTCGCTGGAGGAAGTGGGCTATGGACTGGGCTGGGGTCTGGGCTGTGACCTCTCGCCTGGGCCTGAGGGATGCTGTGGGCATGTCTGTCTCTGGGTATTGTGACTATGTTTCTCCATGACTGGGTGTCTAGATTTGTGTGTCCAAATGTAACTGTCTCCACTTCCATGTGGCCAGAGGCACGTGTGGAAATGTTCCCATGTCCACGTGTGCACGTGTCCACATTTGTCCCCGGCCACATTCACCAGTGTCCACATCTGCCCGTGGCCGCATCTGCCCACGTCCACCATGGCCACATTTACATAGCCCCATACTTCAGTCTTCTGTTGTTTATACATGTGTTTGTCTACGTGTCTGAATTGGGCCAGGGAGTTCCTGAGGCGTGTCTCTGGGTCCGTCTGTGCTGCTGTGTATCCCTGTGGGGTGTGTGTGTGTGTGTCCCTGTGTGTCTTTGCATGGCTGTGTTTCTCTGTGTGGCCCCATGGACCCTCAGCTCCTAAGCCCTGCTCCCTGTGTCCCTGCCCCAGTTGGTAAACATAACCTGCCAAAATATTTTCTTTTTTTTTTTTGTCTTTTTTTGTGTTTTTTTTTTTTTCAAGTTCAAGAATCCCCAGTAAAAATTCTCCACGAGGTCTTTTTTCCCTTTTTACAAAAATAGAGTTTTTCTTCCCCTCCCACCCCCCGTTTTTTTCATTGTGTTTCTGTTTCCAGCCCCTCCCCCTGCCCCTCACATTCCACCAAGGGGCTCTGGGCCAGGGATGCCCACACCCCTCTCACGTTTCGCTTTTTTGGGGATTTTTAAACCTGTTCCCCCCTCTCAGGCTCACCTAGGTGTTGGGGAGGCCTGGGCAAGGGGGCCTGGGAGGGCACCCCCAGCACCCCTCCCCCAAGCCATCCACGGAGGGTGGTTGAGGGTGTGCTGGGGGCACATCTCTGCTTTCACTTTAGCCGAAAAAGGAAACAAAAACCTTCACCATGAACAAAACCAAGACGAGAGAGTGAACAGCCCAGCCTGGGGGGGAGGGGCAGGAGGACGGGGTGGGGGACCCCCAGGAGCCCTCCCATTCCCTGCAGACCCTCCCACCGAGTGCTCACCCTGTGGCTTCTGCAGGGACACGGGGCCCTCGTGCCGTCCGTGGTCTGCCTGCGCTGTCTCTCTCGGGCCCCTGTCTCTCTCTCTCTCTCAATCTCTCAATCTCTCTCTCTCTCTCTCTCTCTCTCTCTCTCTCTCTCTCTCTCTCTCTCTCTGTCTCTGCTGCCCGGGAAGGGTGGGGAGGGCGGCGGTGGCTCAGGCCTTGTGCTGTTTGCTGGTCTTGAAGGACACCTGCAGCACGCGCTCGCCCAGGCGGTAGCCGTTGAGGCTGGCGATGGCCATGGCCGCCTCATCATAGTTGGTCATGGTGACGAAGCCGAAGCCCTTGCACTTGTTGGTGGTAAAGTCGCGGATGACCTTGACATTGGTGACTGCCCCGAAGGGCCCGAACAGCTGCCACAGCACACTCTCATCCGCCTCCGGAGACAGGTTGTACACGAAGATGCACCAGCCAGCGCCCGCCGCGCCCCCCGACAGGCCGACGCCCGCGAGGCCGCTCATGCCGTCGATGGCGATGGGTGAGAACCTGGCGATGAGCGACAGGGGACTACTTTGGGGGTCACGCGGGCTCTGCCCTTACCCCCGGCATGCCCCCTGACCCTGTCATGACCTCTGACCGTGCGGAGACCTCGGGACTATGTGACCCCTGCCTTGGCCCCGTGACCTCCATCTGTGACCCCGCCTTAAGCCCCAGACTCTGAGCCACTCTGATACACCACCAGCCCCCGATCTCCATCCTGACCTGGAGCCCTGTCCTGACCTCTGACCCTCCCTAAACGTTAGGTCCTCACCTGCGATCTTGCCCTGAGCCCCTATGCACCCCGACTCCCTGACCTTGGACCCTACCTGGTCCTCAGCCCTCTTGACACTGACCCCCTCCCCACACCTGGCCACCACCCTTCCCTTGACACCTCTTCCCACCCAACTCCTGCCCTCACCCCCACTCGGGCACCACCCTGATCCCGCCCTTGGCGATGCTGCCCCTTTTGCCCCACTGGCCATCCTGCCAGGTGGAGGCCCACCCGGAAGGGCAGCGCTGGAACCAGGGTGCGAGCGAGGGCTTTAAGCGCCCCCTCTCGTTATTCAGGTCTCAGCTCAGCTGTCACTTCCCCGGGGTGGCCTCCTTTGACTCATATAGTGGCCACCTCCTCCCTCTGGCCCTCTCTGGCCTTTTCCTATGTATGTACGTATGTATGTATTTTTTGGCCTCACCACGTGGCATGTGGGATCTTAATTCCCTGACCAGGGATCGAACCCGTGCCCCCTGTAGTGGAAGCTCAGAGCCCTAACCATTGGACAACCCGGGAAGTCCCCAGGCCTTTTTCTATTTAAATCATGTATTTATCCTTAGCTCCATCTTCCCTGCAAGGTTCTATTCCCTCGGTGTCCCAGCCCAGAACAGCTCCCAGCACCAGTAGGCCCTCAGGGGGTGGGGGTGGGGTCTGTGGAGTGAACGAATGAGTGAAGGGGCATTGGCTCCCTGCCTTCCTGAGCCATTCATTTGATCACTGGGCTCACTCCCTCCTCCTGGCCTTTGCACAAGCCGTTCTTGCTGCCAGGAACTCCAGTTCTGCTCTGGCCCTGTCTCCTGAGTGATGTCTCCACTGGATCCTTATCAACCCGTCTCCTGCCCCCTTCACAGCCCAAATCACGGTTCATCTGTCTCCTTCCCCAGTGGACTGAAATAAGTAATAACAGTAACCATAATCATAAGAGACACTGCCTTTTAAACTGAGTGAGCCTGCACTCCGTGCCAAGCACCATGCTCAGTATCATTCCATCTCCACCAGGGGCCAAGTCTGGCCAGGCCACACTGGGTCCCCAGCTCAGAGCCAAGCTCCTGGCCCTCAGCATGTGCTCAATAGCTCTTGATGCTATAAACATGGGGACCTTCAGAGGATCAGGGATGTGGACAATGGAGCGGGTGGGGGGCCTCAAGGTCCACCCCCAGCTATGAGGCAGAAGGGGGCATTCTGTGACCCTTAGCATAGATGATCAACAGCGGCCAGTGGGGGCACAGCTGTGACCCGGGCAACACTGCCTGCCTTTCAATGGGGTGGAGGAGGCCACAGACAGGCCCCCCAGATCCAGATTCTGTAGTAGCACTTTCTAGGCATTTAGTAGGCTCAAGAGCCCCCAGATCTCTTAATGGCCACACTATGCCCAGGCAGGGGTGGTCCTGGGGGATGAGGTGGTGGATGGGGGCCATAAAGACAAAAGGGTCCAAGGAGGGACGGCGAGGGGCTGGGGGCAGCGGGGCGGGGGCACTGTTACCTCTTGACTCCGTAGGCCATGTTGAGCAAATTGTCCAGCCTGTGGAGGCAGAAGGGGTGGTCACTGGTGGCTTCTGGGCACACCCCCGGCTGTGACACCGGGCAGCCAGCCTGCCCTCCCCGCCCCCACCCAGCCATCCAGCAGTGCCAGCCCTGCCCCCGCCTGCCTGCTCCCCGCCAGGCTGGACACCGCCTGGCACGGAACCGTGGTCACTCGGGCACCGCCTCTTGCCTGCCCTGCTGCTGCCCAGCCTGCACTGGCGTCCTCGTCCTCCCCCTCCCGGCCGCCCAGCCCTGCTCGCCTGCCCCCCACCCCCCAATCCGGGGCTTGGGTCCCGAGAAGGGAAGTCTCTTCTCCAAAGTGCCTGGGCCAGGCAAGTGACAACGCCTCTCTGAGCCTCAGGGTCCCGGTCCGTAAAATGAGGACAAGTTCTGTCCTCACGGGGTCGCTACGCAGAAAAAGTAAGGGTGCCTGGCCAGCAGGGAGCTGAAGCCACGTGCCCTTGGCGGGGTGGGGGAGGGGGTGGGTTGGCAGTCAGAGCTGGGCCTGGTCAGGTGATTCTAAAACTACTGACGCCAATAATGCCACTCTTAGTGGCCTGCACACATTGAGCGTCTGCTGTATACTAGGGTCTGGCCTCAGCACCTGACAGACCCCCACGTTTCCCCTTTTGCCCTGGTTTCTCTCCGCCCTGCAGGAATGGGGTTCGGCGAGGGCACCTGCAAGCCTAGGGCATCCGGCCCTGGGGGTCTGGGACGTCTGGGGGGCAGGGAGCGGCAGGGGGCTCACCGGAAGCGCTGTGTCTGATGGTGCAGGGGGCCTGCGTAGCGCCTGGCGGAGGACTGGTAGAGGTGAGTGAGCAGGGCCTGCCCGGTCTTCTGACTCGGGTTGTTGGCAAACTTGACCGTGATGGGCTCGGCCGCACCTAGCGGCTTCTGCCCGTTCAGTCCTTTGATAGCCTCCTCGGCCTCAATCCTCTTGTCAAAGCGGATGAATCCCACACCCCGAGAGACACCTGCCGGGGCGCGAGGGCGTCATGGGTCCCGCCCCCTCCTGGGGACCCGCCCCCTCCTGCGTGACCCCGCCCCCCCTCCTCGCTGCTATTTCCGGTTTCTCCACTCTGGTCCCACCTGGGTCCCTTAGCCCAGTGCCCCCCCCCGCCCCCCCCAGGTGCACTCTCCCCGGCAGCCTGACCTGTGACCTGGTCCACCAGGATGCGAGAAGTGATGATGCGGCCGTACTGGGAGAACAGCTGCTCCATCTCTTTCTGACTCATGGTCTTAGGGAGCCCGCTGACGTACAGGTTCGCATCCCGGATGGAGGCGGAGCTGGGTCTGGCATAGGACACCTGGGGGAGGGTGTCAGGCGGACAGGGGTGAGGGCAAGCCCATTTCAAATGGGGAGGGAGAGGCCACATTCAAACCGCCACTGAGCAACAGAAATCCCTCATCCGTTTATTCAACAAATACCGCGAGTACTCACCATGGGTGGTGGGTGGGGTCAACCAGGGCTTGGGGGAGGGGATGTGGCTGTGACCAAGACAGCGTGGCCCTGCCCGCGTAGAGCGGTGAGAGGGACCTGTCATCCGAGGAGGTCAAAGGAGCTGCGCCCTTGGGGTCACATGTCTCCCTGGGGGCCTCAGGGACCCTCACATCTCTAGCTCATGTTCTCAGGCTGGATATTCCATCAACATTGACACGTCCCACTCCCTTGGAAAGTGAACCTGGGATGCTGGCTGGCCCCTTCTCTTCCCGACTACAGTGGGCCCCTCAGATCTTTAGCGCCCAGCTCAACCCCGACAACTCCCAAATGTCCGAGCCCAGCATGCGCCTGGCCCCTGAGCTGCACACCTGCGTGACACCTGCCTTCAGGTACCCCACGAGGAGGCCTCGTGGGGGATCACACTCAGCACCCCTGACTTGCCCTAACTCAGTAATGACAGTTCTGTCCTCCTGGCTGCTCAGGTCCCCAGCCTCGGGTTGCCCTCAATGCCTGTCTGTCACACCCGCATCCAACCACCATCCATCCTGTCAGCTCCACCTTCCTCATTATCTGGATAGAATTCACACACTTCTCCCCATTTCCACTGCCCTACCATTGCTCACCCTGACCAGTGCAGCAGTCTCTGCCCTGGTTCCCTGCTCCACCCTCGCCCCCCCACAGGCTGTTCCCCCCACAGCAGCCAGGGGGCACCTGTGAGCATCTCAGCCAGGTCACATCCCTCCTCTGTTCAGAACCCTCCGTGGCTCCCACCTTCCTGAGTTAAAGTGCTTCTCAGGGCCACAAGGCCCTTCACGACCTGCCCCATCACCCCCCTACCCTCATCTCTGCCCACTGTCCCCCTCCACATCTCTATTCCAGGCACATGGGCCTCTTCCACATTCCCCAAACACACTAGGTGTGCTTCACCCTCAGGGCCTTTGCACTTGCTGTCCGCTGTGCTTGCAACTCTCTTCCTTATTTTTCTTCTCCAGGTCTCAGTTGAAATATCCTTCCTGTCCTTTCCCATCTGAATTTGGTCCTCCACCCTTATCCCTGTTACTCTCTGTCAAAGCCCTTCTCTCATCTGTGAATTAGACACGTTTTAGTATGATCCTTCGATTCATGTCATTAGTTATGGTCCAGCCCAACAATGAAACTCTCTGCAGCTGTTTAAAAAATGGTTGACGTGTATATTTATTTCCCCGAAACAGTGGTGAGTATTGTAAAGTGGGGGAAAGAAAAGTCCATTTACAGAGCAGCGAGTATTGTGTGACCCCATCTCATTGTGTGTTTATCAATGTCCTGGAAACATGGTCTGGAGGCCCCACCCCTAAACGCTAACAGGGCGACCTAGAGCTGGTGGGGGAGGCGAGGTGGGATACGCTCCGTTCCCCCTTATTTCTGCTGATGTCTATTTTCTGTTTCTTCTAAATTAACCTCTGGGTAGATGGGGGTCATTGTAAAGGGTCTGGCTTTTGTTTGGGGTGGTGAGTTGTGAGGGCATATTACTTCATTAGAGATAGCTAATTAAAAAACGAACAAAATGAATAAATTAGGCCAAGGGCGGATGGGGGTGAGGGTGTTCATGGGGTGGGGGTAGGGGGATTCTAACTGATGCAATTGTGCACACCTGGGATCCTCCAGAAAAAAGACAAACACCACAGCTGCTATTATTTCTGTAATAATAATTAAAACTCATGGCCATGTATTTGATGGTTTCCACTCTCCCCTACCCCGTGGGGCTGTGAATTTTGAGGGGTGAGGACTTGTTGATGGATTGGAGCTGGGGGAGAGGGGAGGGGAGTCTCAGCTCCTGGGTGGGTTTTGGGGTCAGGGGTCATCTGAGGCACAGAGTAAGTGTTCAGGGGCCTTTCCCATCCTTCCATGACATGGGCTGACCCAGGTCCCTCACGTGGTATGGGCTCCTCCCACACCCCCTCACTAGGATGGGGCCTGGCACACGATGAATGGCTGGAACTATTGTGGGCAGAATCTGCTGGAACACCTAGTCAGGACCAACCACACACCACAGCCACCCAGGCAGATGCACATGTATGCACATACACCCACACAGAGGGCCACGCTCTGGTACTCACTGCACAGCTATGGTGACTACACCAGCAGGAGGGTGACACAAGGCCACCGCCACATTCACGGTGACTCTGGGGGTCTGGGATAATTGCAGTAAGAGTCACACCACCACACCAGCCCTCAATGTCACACACGTTCCATCCTGAATGGGGCACAAGTAGACACACCCACACAACTTCACCGTAACACACAAACGCCCTGTCACAGCCAGACACACCCACGCAGCCCCACCAGGTCACAGCTGGAGTCGCAGTGCATCACAAAGCACCTGTCAAATAAACACCACGTCTCACAGACACCAGGTGACACACCCTCGTCTATAACAGCCAGACCCACATGATAACAGCCACTCACATAGCCAGGGGGTCCCATAGCCAGGGGGTCCCACAAACACCATGTCTTATAGCTCAGGGTCCCCCCCCCCAACATATGCACCACATCACACGCACACAGTGGCCCTCTGGGTCATACAGTTCATCACTAGGGTCCACTCTCACAACCTGGGGGCTTCTGGGTCTACTTGGCCATGGAGGGACCATCAGGCCCTTGTCAGCCTCCACACCAGGGAGAGGAAGAGATTCCGGCACCTCTGTTCCCATGGCGAACTGGGGGCCAGATGGGCATCCTCCCCAGCCCAGCCTCCCCCAGGGTTCAGGAGCAGATTTGTGGGGCGGAGCCCAGACACCCACAGGCAAACCTAGAGAGGGGGTTTCCATGGCGATTCCCTGCAACCCCCACGGCCTCCCGGGAACCTGGGCTTGCAGGGTCCCAGCTGCAGCTGCTGAGAGGGGGGGCCGTGGGGCGAGGGGCATTGTACAAGGGTGGGGGAAGGGCCCGCCCCAATCCCACCCTCCCAGACCCTAGTTAGGCTCCAGATGGCAGATGGGCCCCCACCTCTCCCCCATTTCCATGACAAAGGCAAGGAGAGGGCTGCCCACCAGACCCTGGTCACTCTCTCCTACTGCTGAGGGGGTGGGTACCTCCAGGGCCTGGCTGACTCCTTGAGTTGCCGGAGAATGTGGGGCTGATCATCTCCCCATTGACAAGAGAGGAAACTGAGGTTCAGAGAGGCAGAGCCATTGGCCCCGGGGCCCCAGCCAGAAAGCCTTTGGGGATTGATTTGAACCCCTTAGGGGATGAGCCATGGGGGAGGGTGGGCAGCAGTGGGGGGAATGGATGTATGGGGAGGGTATGGTCGTGGGGGGCTGGGTGGCCATGAAAGGGTCAGTCCAGGTGGGCGGTAATAAAGAGGAAATGGGCACAGCCAAGATGGGAAGTCACAGGGATGGGTGGCAGTGGGGAACGAGGGCGCTGACCTTGATGGTCTTCGTCTGCAGTTTGAGGCCGTTGAGGGTGTTGATGGCTTTGTCTGCATCGTTGGGGTCAGAGTAGTTCACAAACCCGTAGCCGAGGCTCTGCCCTGCAGGCAGGACCAGGACAATGACCACCCTGGACCTGCCAGTGTCCTCCCAGACCCTGGCCTGAGAGACTGACCACCCCCCTCAAGGTTATGAGAACCAAGATTCCACCCTTATTTGTTACCCCCAGAGCACTACCATATCCTGAGGACAGCTCAGACCCCCCAGGGTCCCACCTGCTCCCATCACCTCCCACCTGGGGTCACACCTGTCTCTACACCACACCTGTACTCCTGAGGCTACCACCTCTGTCCCCTATCCCCACCCCCCACCTGCCAGCACCACACCTGTGATCTTGTCCCGAACCAACTTGCAGGACTCAATGTCACCAATGCTGCCGAAGAGACTCTTGAACTCATCCTGGGTCATGTTCTGGGGCAGGTAGTTGACGATGAGGTTGGTCTTGCTGTCATCACTGGCTCCGTTTGTACCAAGGAGTGGCCCGTTGGGCAGGGCCGGGCCAGCCGGGCCCCCCGCCACCTGAGACTCCATGGCCCCGAGTATCTGCTGGAGACAACAGGCCGCACCCACTCACGGCCCAGTTCCCACACCAGGGACCAGTGGGAGTGAGGAGGGGCTTGGTGGTGACAGATCAATCAGGTCTGCATAGGCTTGAACATACAGAGGGGATAAGGTATTATTCTTATAGTCCCTTCCACTTCTTGAGCACCGGGCAAAATACTTTACAGGTGATTTTACTCTGAAAAAGTCCATATATTAATGCCATGTATGCCCATTTGCACGTATGCTTGCCTGTTTGTCTACAGCCAGTCTGCATTTTTAGAATAATGAAATTAATACTTTGTATTCAGAATAAGAATTACAACATTTTTATTAGCTTTGAAGCCCTCATAATCCCAAACCTGACCATGTACTTTGCTCTTCCCACCAAATGTAATTCCTATCCCAAATATGTTAATATTTCTTTTGCTTCATGCATAATTTACCCCCACAGGTTTTCCACTGAGCCATTTTGGGTTTTTTATGTATATCATAATAACACCTGCAAATATAATGACAGTTTTATTTCTTTATCTCCAATCTATACCTGTTATTTATTTTTCTTGTCTTGTTGTAGGGGCTACATTGTGACATTGGCTTCTTTATTCTTGACATTAAAAGAAATGTTTTAAACATTTCACAGCTAAATATGATCTTTACTATAGGTTTTTTGGCAGATGGCCTTTATCAAGTTAAGAATGTTTAATTTTATTCCTAGTATCTTAACAAGATATTTTTTTAAGGAATGGATATTGAATTTTATTGAATATCTTTTTCTGCATCTATTGAGATGATTTTTTTGCTTCAATATTTTTTTTAACAGATAGGGAAGAGGGCTTTTTATTTTTATTTTTAAAAATTAATTAATTAATTAATTAATTTATGGCTGCGTTGGGTCTTCGTTGCTGTGTGCGGCTTTCTCTAGTTGTGGCGAGCAGGGGCTACTCTTGGTTGCGGTGCGCGGGCTTCTTATTGTGGTGGCTTCTCTTGTTGTGGAGCACAGGCTCTAGGCACGCGGCTTCAGTAGCTGCAGCATGCGGGCTCAGTAGTTGTGGCTTGAGGACTCTAGAGCGCAGGCTCAGTAGTTGTGGTGCATGGGCTTAGTTGCTCCGCAGCATGTGGGATCTTCCCGGATCAGGGATCAAACCTGTGTCCCTTGCATTGACAGGCGGATTCTTAGCCACTGCACCACCGGAGAAGCCTGCTTTAATATGTTCATGTAATAAATTACATTAATTGATTTTCCAATATTAAGTCAACTTTCCTAAGCTACACTAAACTTGGTCATGTTGCAGTTTTGTTTATATACATTGTTTGATTTGCCAAATTTTTTATGGTTCTTTGTTTAGGATTTTTAACCTCTGTATTCAGGAAGATATGCTTTTTTAAAATTTAATTCACACAGAGGCTCAGGTAGAAGTTTATTATGCTATGACAAATAAGGAATTTGAGGCTCCGAGATGTTAAGGAACTTGTTGAAGTCACACAGCATATCAGTGGTGGCACTGGAATGCAAATGCAGACCTGTCTAGACCTGAAGACCACTCTACCACTCTCTATGACAGTCAACCAGGCAGGTACCAGCTCTGATAACTCTTCGCTGTGTGTCCTTGGATATGCTCCTTATCCTCCTGGGGCCTCTGGTTCACTTTGCCGAAAATTCAAAACAATTAGTAATGGCTATCTTAAGGGCCATGTAGAGAAGAATTATAAAGCCATGTCTGGGCTCAGAACGAAAGAGGGCTGGGATTGATTGGTATTGTCTGTCATGGGCATGGGAAGGGAAAGCAGCTAGCATTTCCTTAGGTCTTCTCCTATGTCACAGTTGGTGAATAGGTTGCCCTTACCTAGAAACCCAAATAGATTGGTAGAGTCTTCCTAGATGGATGAATTAAGAAGGATTTAAAGCTATATTCAGTTTCAGCAGTAAAGATGACTGTGATCGATGAGCAATATCTGTTGTGGCCACAGAATTAGAAAGAGCCAGCAGGTACACATCATCTCAGCCATCCCTGCCCCAAAATTCAATACCATAATGGTTCCCAAATATTGCGCATACTAGGTGCCAGGCACAGTGCAAGGCCCTCTACAGGGAATGTTTCTTTTCTTTTTCACCACTCTGAAAGGAGGAGGGTTTTATTACCCCTGCTTAAGAGATGCTATGGACTAAATGCTTGTGCCCCTCCAAATTCATATCTTGAAACCCTGCTCTCCAGTGCAGTGGTATTTGGAGGTGGGGCCTTTGGAAGGTTATTAGGTCATGAGGGTGGAGCCTTATATAAAGGGACGGGAGAGAGATGATCTCTCTCTCTCCACCATATGAAGACAGTGATAACACAGCTGTCTACAAACCAGGAAGCCGGCCCTCACCAGGAGCCGAATCAGCCCACACCTTGATCTTGGACTTCTCAGCCTCCAGAGCTGTGAGAAATACGTGTCTGTTGTTTAAGCTACCCAGTTTATGGTATTTTAGTCAGCCTGAGCTGAGTAAGACAACAGATGAGGAAAGTGAGGTTCAGAGATGTTTGAAAAATTACCAAAGATCATGCCGCCCATAAATGGTGAAACAGGGATTTGCGCATGAGCTTTTCTGATTGGGCATCTGTATTTCCAACTTCCACTGCCACCCAAGACTAGTGCTGGCTCTAACACTTCCCAGCTGCGTGTCCTCAGGTATGCTACTTAACAGTCTTTATGCTACGACCTCTGCTCCACTTTGTTGAAAACTCCAAATCACCAGCATAGTGACCAGAGACCCATCTAAAGCCAATTGTGGGTGCAGCTGGAAGGCATCCTGGGATCAGTTAGCTATGTCTGACACAGGCAGTCATGAGAAGTGGAAGTGGGCTTGTCTTGTCCACAAGACAAGCCCTGCCTCATAATGCTGCTATTAATAATCATCCTGCTCCATTGACACCTACCGTGTCAGGTACCAGGGAAATAACTCAGAGACGTTGGGTGATATAAATGGGGAAATTGATTTCAAACGTGGATATGTTGGACTTCAGAGCCGTTTTTAATGACTGGCCAATACACTGGGGGCAGCTCTGCCACCACATAGCTGTATGTCTTCAGCGACAATCTTAGCTCTTCTTTGGCCTTCTGTTTCCTTGTCATTTATTCTTATTTAAAGGATAGTACAGAGGGTCAACTCCCCTGCAGCTCCATTTGGCGGGGAGTGGCTGTCTGGGGGAGCTGCCTGGAGGATTCTTCTTCTTCTTCTTCTTTTTTTCTTCCATTTTTGGCCACGCCATGTGGCTTATGGGATCTTAGTTCCCAGACCAGGGATTGAACCCAGGCCCTCAGCAGTGAGAGTGTGGAATCCTAACCTCTGGACCATCGGGGGAATTCCCTGGAGGATTATTCTGAAGCCACATCCAGGCTCACCAGGAACACAAACTGGGTTGATTAGCAATGTCTGCCACAGGCGCCTGAAATATAGCAGTAATGTACTCTCCACACATCTGCATCCTGGTCCTGTAACATTAATACTTCACGAACAACATGGCCGTGTATTGAGGGCCTGCTATGGGCCAGCCAAAATTCTTTATGTGAAAATTTCCAGGCAATTCTCCCCAAATTGAATGTTATGGGACTCTATTCTTATTTAACAGATGAGAAAACTGAGTCTCATTGAAGGAGGAGGGATTTGCACAAGTTTGGGTAGCATGTAAAAAGTGGACCAAGAATTCCAATTCAGGGTTTAGACTCTAGAGCCCACTCTCAATGAAAAGGCCAATTAAAAAGAAATACTAATAACAAAGCAAAGCAAAGCTGAGCACCCACTCTTTGCCAAGCCCCGGGCAACACTACATTTAAACCCACTTTGGGGGCTTCCCTGGTGGCGCGGTGGTTAAGAATCCGCCTGCCAATGCAGGGGACATGGGTTCGAGCCCTGGTCCAGGAAGATCCCTCATGCCGCGGAGCAACGAAGCCCGTGGGCCACACTACTGAAGCCCGTGCACCTAGAGCCCGTGCTCTGCAACAAGAGAAGCCACCGCAATGAGACGCCCGCGCACTGCAACGAAGAGCAGCCCCTGCTCGCTGCAGCTAGAGAAAGCCCGCGCACAGCAATGGAGACCCAGAGCAGTCAAAAATAAATAAATAAATAAATTTAAAAATAAACAAACCAAAAAGAATAAACAAACAAACAAAAATAAACCCACTTTGTTGGCCGAGTCTGCTCATTCAACTCAGCAAATATTTACTAGGTGCCACCATATGCCAGCTGCTGGCTCCACCCTCCTGTATATCCTCTGACACTCATGTTACCTCTCTAGGTCTCTGTCCCACTACCAAAGATATGGCACAGAGGTCCCCCGTGTATGGGGAGATGGAGTCTGAATTCCTGTCTAGGCTCAGCGAGCTAGAATTCTGTGATTTCTTGATAATGTCTATTATGGGAGCCCCAAAAGCAATCAGCAGTACATAAACCACTGTTTCAGGACACATCAGATCCCAGCTTTGGAAGCCCTACTATGTGCCAGGCCCTGAGCCTGTGCTGTTTTCATTGCCTTTCCACAACCACCCTGAAAGCTGGAGATCATCTCCATTTCTCAGATGGAGAAACTGAGGGTAAATGGGACCTGTGACTTGCCCAGGATGACAGAGGGAAGTAGTAGCGATGGTGTTAGGGTTTGACCCCTTGATCTGATGACCCTAGAGCCTACATACAGGGTCACTGGTCCTCCACCCCCGGAAATGCTGTCCTCAACTTGGGTGGGGTTAAGAGGTGACTGGGGGGTTCCCACTCAGGATCTTGAGGCCCAGCCCACTAATCTCACCACCACCCCATCTCCCTCCCATCTGTGCCAGAGCTTAGAGGGATCAGTGTCGCATTTCCTCCGAGGCTGAGCCGGCTGAGCTGCTAATGGGGATCGGATTGGTGGAGGCCACACCCGCCCTGCCTCAGCCCACAGCAAATGCGTGGCCTGGGATGACACAGGGATCACAGGGACCTTCGAGGGCTGTCCCAGAACAGGGATAGAGAGGTGAAGTCAGAGGGGAGGAAGGCAGATCAAAGATGGAGCAAGGGAACCTCCCCTCCCACTCTCTCCAGCTCTTCCTCTGGGTCTCTCCCTCTTTCTGTTTCTCTTTCCCTCTTTTCCCCTCAGTTTCTCTCTCTTCTCCTCTGTCCCCATCTCTCCTCTCTCCCCTCTGAACGCTTCTCTTTCTCCCCCTCCCTCTTTCTCTCACCCTTTCTCCAACTCTTTTGCACCATTATACAAACATCTGACATATGGATTTTGCAATGAACACACCTGAGGTTACTTGCTGTGTCAGACCCCCTTGGCCCCCAGCTGTGCCCCCTGGCCCTAGTCACAGTGACAGATGCCTGGGTACTGGCAACAATAGGGCATTGAGTGGCTATGCATGGTAAGGCTGGGCCACCACGTGGTGCTAAGTGAGCCTCCTACTTCTGGGCCCTTCTGCCTCCATGCAGGGAGGGCCCTCACTGTCTCAACTCATCCCCTCACTTCCTCCCAGCCTGTCCCCATGATGGGTCTCTGCCTGAGTACTCTCCATTGGAGTGACCAGGACTCCAAGGGCTTCAAGGCCCTTGTGTGACCTCTGACCACACCCTCTCCCCTTTGTGCATCAGCTTCCCCTTCTCAAATGAGGGCAGAGATCGGAGCAATGTATGCTGGACTGCTGTGGGGGTGCTGAGGGTCCTCAGGAGGCCTCGCTCACGTTCCTAGATCAGGGTGAGCAGCGTGAGGCACAGAGAGGGGAAGGAGCTGCCTTGAGGTCACACAGCAGAAAAGGGTGGTCTCTCTCAGGCCTTTCTCAGAGCCAGGTGGGTGGGTCCCAGGGTCTAGTATGGGAGAGGCCCAGGCGTGGAGGGAGTGCTGAGCATCCCCCCACCCACTGTGCTCGTTACTACTCGAAAAAGAGATCCAGGAAGAGACACAGTGTACAGAGACACACACACAGAGACCCGAGAGACAGAAAGAGCGGAAGAAGGAGGCCCCGGCGCCAGGACCAGACAAAGGACGCTCGGCGGCGCGGGGAGCAGAGTCGCGCGGCGGGGGCGGGGGTGGAGCTGGGGTGGGTCTAGAATTGGCCAGCCCCGCCCCCGGGATACGCCCGGGCTGCCAGTGGAAATCCGAGGGCTCGGAAGAGGCAGGGCCCCTGGGGCCCCTGGGGCGGGGCTTAGATGGGCGGGGCAGGGGCGTGGTTAGTAAGGGCGTGGCCGGGCGTGGCCGGGCGCTCGGGAGCTGACCAGCTCTGTGGCTGCTGAAAGCCCCGAGCGCGGGGCGAGTGGCGCGGGCGGGCGGGCGCGCTCAAGGTCATCCCGCGGCCCAGAGCTCTGGCGGGGTGGGACGCCTGAACCTGGCCTAGGGGGCCTGCCTGAGCCCCTTACCCCATCCCCCGGGGGCGGGGGCCCAGGAGCGGCGAGGCACCCCCTACAAGCCCTCCTTTCCCCTCCCCCTCCCCGCAGCCTGAGGCGCCCGCGCGAGGCTACGGCCCGCGAAGAAGCGCCGAGAAACAAAGGGACGCGGCGGCGGTGGCGGCGGGCCCGCGGGGCCGCCGGGCGCGCCCCCTCCTCTCCCCTCCCCGCTTGCCGCAAGGTCGACGGGCTTGAGGACGAGACGCCCGGCTCCAGGGCGCGGTCGAGGCCCAGGGCGCGCGATCCGACGCCACCCCTTCCCTGGGGCTCTCGGGGACTCCTTGCCTCCTTGTCCTGGCCCAGCACCAGTGACTGGGGCCCTGCGTTTGCCTGGGAGGCCTGCTGGGTCCGGGCCTGGATGGAGGAAGCATCCTACGCCGCGGCGTCCCCTCCCCCATCAGGCCTGCTGAAGGGGGGGCAATCCCGCCCCCAGGGCGCCGTAGGATGTCCCCCGAATCGCAGCTCGATTCCCTAAGGCCTCTCAAGCCAGACTCTAAGAGCCCCCAGCACTCTGGGCGCGGCTCTGTCCACTCTCAGGCCCCGAGGCTCGGTCCTACCCCCCCCCCCCCCCCGGGCCTAGCTAGGCCTGGTCCTACCCCCCCTCCCATCTCTTCGGAGCCTGTGCCTAACCCCTCTCCGACTAGGTTCCCTCTCAGCGACAGGGGAATACCTACAGTGACCATTCTTGTGTGCCCGGCGGGCGCGGTCCGTGTTGAGGGTGGCTCCGGGGGTCGTGCACTCCTTGGGGGGCGCTCGATGCTCACGCCGGGGTCCTGCCCGGGCGGCCTCTGGTGCGGCCGCTGCAGAGGTCTCGGTGAGGACAGCGACTCCCTCGAGGGCCGGGGACGGGCCCGAGCCCGGGTGCGCGCGCGCGGATAACCGGGCCCCGGGGTGGCCTGCGGGCGGCAGGGGATGGAAAGAGGGAGCGGGCGCGGGATTGAGAACGCCCCCTGCGCGGCCCCGCGGGGCCCGAGGAGGTTGCGCTTCCCGACAGAGATCGCTGCGCTCTGCCTTTCGCCGCCGCCCCTCGGCCCGGCCCGTCTGGTCCCCGGTGTTCAGTCCTCTCCCCTCGCCCGCCCTCCCTCCCTCCCTCCGGCCCGCGCTGCGCGCTCCGCGCTCTGGGCCGCGCCGCCGCCGCCCCCAGCCCTTTATAGCAGCAGCTGCCAGCGCCGGCGTCGCTTATTGGCTACGGCAACCGAGCCCCGCCTCCTCGCGGCGCCCGACGGCGCGGCAGGTGGAAGAGAGGGCGCGCTGGCCAGGACTTCGCACGCCCAGAAGGCACATCCTGGGGCCTCGGGTTGCCAGATTCGGGCCCTTTTGCCCTCACGGATCCTACTTCGTGCGTTGGCGCCCTTTCTTGGGCGGGCTTTCTGCCCGGAAGACAGGAAGGGTTCCCCTCTGTCCAGCACCCAGAGCTGGAGGAGCAAAGAGGGCGAGGAGATATTGATGGCTCGATTGTACTACCTTCAGGAGGTGCTGTCCACCAAGAGCACTGCAGAGGAACGAGGAACCTAGACTTCAATGAGCAGAGGCCTGGGTCCCCACGTTTGGGAGGACCATATGTAGTCCCAAGACCAAGGGAGGAAGGTGGGGCTGGCTGGGGACCTAGTCAGCCTGAAGAAGGAATTGGGACCCTGTGGATTTTGAGCAGGCTAGGTGTCTCTAAGGTTTAAAGGGGGGTGGGGAATGGGCATCCCACAGTGCAGGGGCACTGCTCCAAAGGGAGTGAAGAAGTTTGGGGCTCAGGGTTCCAGGCAAACCCCTTCGGTGCCCTGAAGACCCAGTAAACCATCGGGCCGTCTCGGACCCCATAAACTTCGGGTGGACGGTTTTGCCATGTAAATGTCCTGGCTTCCCGGGCTCGTGATTGGTCCGCCTGTGAGACCCACTCCCTCTCTGCTAAGCGGGACCTGGCCTTTCTGTCAGGCGATAGGGGGTGGCGCAGTCTCTTGTGGTGTGCGGGCGCGAGTGCACGTTTTTGTCAGGGCGGCCACCAGGCGCGAGGAGGTGTTCTCACTAGAACGCTAGGGGAGCCTTTGAGTGAGGCTTCAGCACCACAGACAGCGGTCCGACGGCCCTGTCCAGGGCGCTGCGGGCTGCGTAGCCCGGGTCCCCGAACCCGAGAGTCGCAATCCAAACTCTATCCTCGTCCGTGCACGCCCTTTTAAGCTCCAGACTGTCCGAGCGTGCCATCAAACCCAGCGAGGAGAGCCTAATTTGACCAATCAGGGATGGCCCCCGAGAGGACCAATTGAGGGAAGATGCCTTCGAGATTGAGCCAATGGGAGCGCGAGCAGCAGACAGCGCTGCCACGGCGATGGAAAGGGAAGGCCAATCATAATGGCCCGCGCAATCTGGGCGGTGGCGATGCGGATTCCCGGTTGGCCCTTCTTGGATTTGCCAGGGCGACCTGGCTGCCGACCCCGGGGACCCCGAGCGATGGCTTGTTCCCCATCCCGTGTTCCTCCTCGCTCCTGTCGGATCGGAAACTGTGCTTGTGCCGGGAAGGAAGCTACTCCTGGGCGCGCAGACCAGGCTGCAGTTCCCATGGAAACTGCTGGCTCCCGGTTGTGCGGGGATAGCGAAAGGGGACTGAGCCTTGCGGGGAGGCTCGCGGGGGCGGCCCCAGTAGCCGGACTCGCCCATCCTCTCCAACTCATCCGTCCCCGGCTGGGGTAGCTCCCAGTCCGAAAAATAAGATGAGGCCTAGCTGCCCCGCCCCCACGAGCTGGTGAGGGGCCGGCGGGGGCCATTCTGCGCGTGGCGCCATAGAGCTCCCCCAGGCACGTGCCCTGGCTCGCGGCTGCGGTCCCCGGAGTCACGTGGCTGCGGCCACCAGGGCCCACGAGGTTTGCGCGCCATCTGGCGGCCGCATGGCCTGGAATCGCTCCCCGTCCCTCTCCCAGAAGGCCCGCATAAGGAGGAGGAGGAGGAGGTGGCCTCAGCATCATCCTCCGGGAAATGGGGCCAGTGCAGTCGCCCCGCCGCTGCCAAATCCCCTCCCCCGTCTTTCTTCTTGTTCCAGGAACACGCCGAGCCCGTTCCACCTCGGGACTTTGGCACTGGCTGTTCCTTCGACCTGGGATTTGCCTCCCCCCGTCTTTCTTCAGGGATGGAACCTCTTCGTCATTCTGGTCTATGCTCAAAGGCCTCCCCAGAGAGGCCCTCCCTGACCACCAACCTAAACAGCACTCCCAAGAACTAGCGTATCACTCTATTTTCTGCACGGCGCTTGTCACAGCTGTAGATGTTTTACTTCGGGGCTTACTGGACATCTCCCCAACTGCTCCCTGAGCTCTCTGAGAACGAGGAATGAGTGTTCTATGAGGGATTAGGAGAGGGAGTCAGGATCCTGAGACCTGGGACATGTTCAGTAGCCTCCAGGGCCCCCAACCTTCCACACCTGACCCTGTCAGAGGAGGGGGTGTTTAGGGTTGCCAGGCCCAGGTAGCCAAGGCAGAGCAGAGGTCGACAGGAACGGGCAGGAGCGCTGTCTGGTGTGTAGGGGCATCTGCCCCTGCCCCCATCTTGCTCGGGAAGGAACCAGGTTGGAGACAGAGAGGGGCCCACCTTCCCCCAATCATCCAGGCCTAGGGGAAGAGCAGCTCCTTTCTCGCTCTTTAATCTCGTTCTGCTCTCTTGACACAGTCCCAGCAGTGCAGCCCCAGGTGCCAGCTCCAAAACTCGGGCGGGGTCGGGGGGACCTGCCCTGAGGGCCCAGCCCTGGAGCGGGGCAGAGGCGCCTCCTTCTGGCCCGAGGTCCTGGCGGCTGGCCACGGCTGTCCCGGCCCCGGCAGACTCGGGCACGGTGTCCGATGGGATGAATAAATAGGGGCGTTCAGTGGTTGGGTGGATCAGGCGGGCTTGTGGTCGGGGTGGCTTTTGAGCGTGTGGAACTTGACGCTGTCCAGCTTCTCGAAGCGCTTCCCGCAGCGCTCGCACGTGAAGTTGTACTGCACCTCGGCCGTGTGCTTCTTCATGTGCCAGTTGAGCGATGCACGCTGTCGGCACTGGTAGCCACAGATCTCGCACCTGCAGGGGAGCACGCGGGAGGCACGGGGGGGGGCGGGGTCAGAGAGGGCGGGGCAAAAGGGAGCAGCACCGGGGAGGGGCCGCCTCGGGGGCGGGACACAACCACTAAGGCTGGGCAGACCCCTGGAAAGGGGGGGGCACCATCTGGGGTGGGAGCACTCTGGAAACCCCACAGATGCAACGCTGGGGACGTTGCCCGCCCTTGGGAGCTGCCCTGTGAGAGTCCAGGCCCGGATGCCCTCCCTCCCAGCCCCTCGCGGGAAGCCCGTCACTCACTGCAGAGGCGTCTCGCCTGTGTGCGTGCGCCGGTGCACCTCCAGGTGGTTTTTCCTCTTAAAGGACTTGCCGCAGGTTTCACAGGTGAATTCACGGACACCTGGGGGAGACGCGGGGCTGAGCAGGCCGCCGTCGAGAGAGGGGTTTGTGGGGTCACTGCGGCATTGCCGAGACCCAGTAGTGCGCAAGGCCTCTGGGCGCAGGCAGACTAAAGCCCACATCCTCTGGGCGCGAATGCCGACTACAATAGCTAAGGCAGCTAGAACAAAGGACAGCTACGGCCCCGCATGAGGCTCGCAGGCTGCCCAGGAACGCGACTGGGCAGAGCAGGAATGCGTACTCGGATCCCTGAGGTACACAGGGTGCAAACTGCCAAGCTAAAGTGGGGCTGAATTTGACTCTAATGTTTCACGTATTGGGGTGATCTCACATAAAAATCCAAAGTTCCAGCCTCTCGAAAAATCTGAAGCCGGGTATAGGCACCAGTGCTCCCCGTGAGGCCCGCACCCCGTGTCCTGGGTTAAGGAGGCGCCTGGAGCAGACGGAACAGAAATCCTGTCCCAAGTTCACTTCCCCACCCTGCCCACCTGGGGTGCTTCACTGTCCCCCCTCAGTCCTGGAACTGAGTCCCACGTGAGAATTGCTCATGGAAGTGGGGAGGCCAAGGGCCAAGGTGGGGAAGAGACAGCCAACCCCTGCCCAGCTCCACATGACTCAGAATAGCAGATGCCCCTGTGACCCGTGTAGCGACAGCTTACTGACTACTTGGGAGGTGCCCAGTGGGCACTAAGTCAACCACTTTACTTCCACCGTCTCACACCAGCCCTTGTGGTGGACACAGAGGAGGCTCAGAGAGGGGCAGTCCGTGTCTGGGTTTCACCCTGCCTGCCCCAGCCCTGGCCCCAGCTCCCAGGCCCAGGCCACCGTGCCTTTGGCTCAAGCTGCCAGCCCCTCCCCGGCCTGACCTGAGTGGATGATCATGTGCCGCCGAAGGTGGTTGGATAAATAGAACTTCTTGCCACAGCCGGGGTGAGGGCACACCTTGGTCTTCCCTTTCCGATGCACAAGGTTGACGTGGTTCTGGGGGCAAGAGGGGCAGGAGTGGGGCTGCGGGTGCCATGGGCCCGCCTCTGGAGCGCTCCAGGGTGGGGACAGATGAGGGCCAGCTAGGGCTGGCCTCCCTGGAAGAGGAAGAGGGGTGCCCTTGCCCTTGGGCAGGGACTCCCAGATCCGAGCCGGGGGCCAGGGGCACAACTGGGATCAAAGAGCAGCTTACTGAGCACCTACTCCAGCCAGGCTCTGGGCTGGGGCATCAGTCAGCCTTGTCAGAACCATGGGAAGGGGATCAGCCATGAGCCCAGTTTGTGGATGGGGAAACTAAGACTCTGGAGGCTTAGTGGTTTGGCCCGTGTCTCACAGGTGGGCAGTGGCAGGGCTAGGACCGGAGTCCAGGGCTGTCAGCCCCACAGTGGCACTTTGCATAGTGCTAAGCTGCCCCTAGCGCCTGGAGCAGGCAGCCCCCGAGTCATTCATTCTTTTGTTCTTTCATTCTTTAACTCACTAGCACAACTGCTCCAGCGCCCAGCGCCAGGCCTAGCACCCGGCAGGTGCTCAACATGTGCTTAATGAAAACATGACTTGGCAAATTCGAAGTTCTCCTGGTGCCACATCCTGCGCCAGGAGTGGGGATGTGACGGGATCCTGTCTCTGCTCTCAGGGTACCCTGTCCAGACCTCAGAGGGCAAACGGCAGGTATGTCCTGGTAGTGCAGTGACCCGGGGCTGGGGGGACTA